TTTTTAGGAGCTCAGTAAGATGTAGACAATATTTACCTCCAAAGACTCCAGCAGGAAGTAACCATAATCATGTACATAAAGCCTCTGGCAAATGGTAGCCTTGTGTGGCTACTGAGTGCTCAGTGCAGCTAGTGGGACCTGGGAAATGCTGTGTAAGATACATACCAGGTTTCAAAATTTAGTATGAAATGAAAAAAGTCAATTATCCTATTCTTTATAATACTGATTACATGTTGAAGTAATATTTTGGAATATATTGTGAAATATATTACTTTTTCAAAATGTGCACAATTATATATTTTATCTTACACCAGAGATCAAGAAAAATGATGTTGACAGGTTGACTTATTTTTGTGCCTGTCTGAAAAGCTTCTGCTACTACTGAATCATTAAAAAGTATCCCGAAATCACTGACTTCATATACTTTTTAGGTTCTTATCTTGCAAGGTTAACTGTTTAAAAATTGTGATCATATACCTGTGGGCATCAGAATTTTCTCCATATTAGACAACTAAAAATTAGATACAGACATTGACAAATATTATCTATAAACTCCAACAGCCAGGCAATATCTATTCTCATTGCTTGACCTTTGAATTCAAACTTAAAATCCACACTATTTCTTTAATTGGCCTTAGATAATGGCACTCTAAAAATTTTTTCTGATTAAAAAAATATATGGACACTCTATGCTTAACGTTGGAAATCTAACAGATTTGCGTCTGGGTACGTGCAGCCATTTCTCTTTTGCCAGCTGAAGGGTTGACTACCTGTGGAAAGCTCTCCAGGGCCAGACAGAAGTGCCTGCTCTCTGATCTAGCAGGATCCGCCCATTTCCTGTGGTGGGAAAGCCTGTAATTTCCTAACCTGGTTGTTGTAGGGTTCACTGGGGAGCCAGCAATAGTACCGGGAATAAAGAATCAAGTGTAGCCAGCCTTCCACACAGAGGTCCCGGGGACTGCGCCAACTGGGCCAATGAGACATCCACGTGTCCTGAAGAAGCCTCCACCTCTAGACAGACCCCATTTCTGCTGCATCCAGAGTCCATTCACGTTTACAAAGAATACCGGAGCCATTTGATGAGTTCGGAAGTGTTCTTGAGTGGCTCATGAATTGCTCACCACCTGATATGGTTTGGCTGTGTCCTCACCCCAATTTCATCTTGAGTTGTAGCTCTCACAATTCCGTGTTGAGGGAGGGACCTGGTGAGAGATAACTGAATCATGGGGGCGGTTTCCCTCATACTGTTCTCATGGTAGTAAGTCTCATGAGCTTCGATAGTTTCATAAGGAGTTTTCCCTTTCACTCAGCTCTCATTGTCTCTTGCCTTCCGCCATGATTGTTAGGCCTCCCCAGCCACGTGGAACTGTGAGTCCATTAAACCTTTTTCTTTATAAATTACCCAGTGTTGGGTATGTCTTTATCGGCAGCGTGAAAATGGACTAATACACCACCCTTACACATATCTAGTCCCAACTTACCTCAAGGTAGGTGATGCTAGAGGGGGCTGAAGGGACTTCAGGTCCTCTACACCCCAACAAAGCCTGCCTCAAGGGGCCTGGACCGGGCAAGCCATTGAAGTTGCCTGTTTCATCCCCTTAGGCAGTTCTGATCGTCCCTTTCATAGTGGAGGCTGATTCTGCTCCCGGGGCATTCAACCCACTTCTCCTAGCTCTATCTTCTGGCTCCTGCATTTGTGTCTCTACAAATAAATTTAAATTAACAAACGGGTAGCCTGAGTCTCCTCTTCTACAGGCTGAGAAGACAAGTGTAAAAGCCCTTAGCACACAGGGCCTGGTGCAGAGCAAATATACATAAAATCCCATTGCTGTCATTGTTAATTACCCAAAGCAGGATGGATTGATCAGGGTTGAAAGATATTTTGATTTTTAAAGGAATATATGCTTGCTTCTACCAATTATTTTCTTTTCTGTTGACCCATCTTCATTGGATCTAATTTGAAGCCTTGTCCTGCTGTGTCCCTCTCCTGCGATGAGGTTACAGGTGGTCCCTGTATCTAAGTGTGACCTGACCACCAAAGGGCATCATCTCTCACTTCAAAATCCACGCAGTTCAAACTCACACCAGCTATTCTGGCAGCTGCATGCTGTTGTAGCTTAAAAATGTGTCTCTTTTATACACACAGTTACTAAAGGCTCTGCTTTAACATCTAGAATATACTAAGCACTGTTCCAAGTAACCCCTTTGGTTAATTCTGCATTTCCCCAAAGGAGCACCATACCTTAAGACTGTCCTCAGCAGACAGTGGTTGCTCAACTTGCTAGATTGACCAGAACGCCACCAAGTTCCCAGAAGTTTACTAGTGTCTACACTTACTCAATGAGGTATCCTGCAAAAGACAGTCTGGGGACAGTTAGGCCTTCCAGGAGGCAGCACTGAGGAAATGTGCTCTATGCCAGTAAGATAACACGAGGTGCCAATAGGACAAGGCCCTTGTGAAATGTGACAGCTCCATGCGTTTGCCAAGGATCAGAAAAGGATCCCAGCTCAGCAAAGCCGGTTCTTATGTCCCTTCCTAGGGGTGAGCCCACATAAGTTAGAGGGGACAACCTCAGAACCCTGATTTAGGATTTGGACACAAAGAAAGCCCATAGGTCCCAACCTTCCGGGGTTGGAGGTCTGCTCTCCACAGCAGGCCGGGCCTATGTTGGCGACTGTGCTTCCAGAACGGTCCCCCATTCCAAAAGTTGACTTGCTGCATCTGACCTATGAGAAGCCTACATTTGGCATCAAGATCATCTGTGGAAAAGGGATCCCTGGGTTTCTAGGAGCTTCAACAGTAAACACACCTAGCAGGAACCCATTTCTGCAGCCGCTTCTGGAAGTGCTGACATGTGCTACAACACGGATGAGCTGTGACAGGAGCCAGTCACAAAAGACCACACGGTGACTGGCTCCATTTCTGTAAATGTCCAGAACAGCCAATCTATAGCGAGAGAAAGTAGATTAGGGACTGCCTAATGCTTGGGCGGAGTGGGGGGATAAGGAGGGGGTGGAGGGAGGCAGCGATTGGAGGATAACAGCAAAGGGGTATGGAGCATCATCTTGGGGTAATAAAAACATGTGAAAATTGTTAGTGATGGACTTAAAATTCTGAATAGACTCCAGGCCACCCAATTGTCTACTTAAATGGGTGACTTACGCAGTATGTGAATTTTATCTCAATAAAGCTGTCAAAGAATCAGGAAGTACTCAATACCATTTATTGTGGAACAGCTGCTTACTATGAGTTTGTAAAAGCTGTAGTTACATCAGGATAAGAGCAGAACGGCCTTGGTCCGCTCTGTCCGCATCCCTCCACAGAACTCTGGTGAGCAACCTGCCTGAATTTTACACTTTTGGCCAAAATAGAAATGAGGATTTTTTTAAAAGTCATTTTGTGGTGGAATATCTAATCCAAATTTCTTAGAAACAAGCAAGGATCCTTGCAGTGTTATTCCAGCACCCAAGCTCCAGCTGGAGGGACTGGTGAGTACCAGGAACCTGTTAAGGGACAGGATGGCCCATGCCCAGTGCAGTGGAGCTCTGCAGCCCTCCTGGGGCTGTACTTCCCCAGCACTACCTGGAAGGAAGACCTGGAAGGAAGGAAGACCAGAGCACTTCCTCGCCCGTCCCACACTGCACAGGTGGGCTGGTTTTCCCTTGGGTTAACATGGGAGTTATTTCATGCTACTTAAGCAAACGGCCAGGGAATCTGAGTGCCTGCTCTGTGCCAGCCATTATAATGTTTGGTAGTTCAGGAGGAGCAGAGTTTGCATTTAATAAGTGATTAAATTTGAGAAACAATCTCGGCTAATATGCGGGCTACGTATCCTTTAGGAAATAGTGAACAAGATAACAGCAAAGAAGCTGGGCAGGACAGAGGCAAAGATGAGACTGTTTCAGGAAGAATGTGACACACGGATACAGTCTGATTTACCTGAGAGAGAGGCAGACCAGGTATGGGAACTAATATTTGAGTGCCTATCTTCTCCCATAAGAAAATATAGTAACGACTTTCCCCAAGTTTTGATCCCTTAGCCATTTTACTTTACAGAATACATTAGCTACTTCTGCTTAATGAAGCATTTTTTTTTAAGTAGATGCCAGAGAATGCACCAATTTTACTGTATTTTTTAATGTGATGCCAAGACACAGAGCTGGTGTTGGCTGAAGGGTCTTGATTGGATCCCCCGTTGCTTCCTTTAAGTGAAATCTCAACCAATGGAGGAGAAAGTTGGAAGAGGAGGAATGCATGATGGTCCCAAGAAAACTCCACCAGATTTTTACTGCTAATCATCCACCAACTGCAACACATCAAGTAGGAAAAGAAAAATCTTACTCACCTGACAGCCTAAGTACTTATAATTTTATTTTCACATTAGAGAGATAACATGTTTCTAGGATGAAGCACGAAGTGGTTTATTAAATTGATGACAATGTAGCACGGGCAGCCCCGGAGACTAAGGCGAGGTGCCCATACTGAGAGCGTGGCCCCAGATCTGCCTGACGGGGATCACGCCTACCAGGCCTACGGGGGGTTGATGGAGAACCCCAGCGCTTAGACCTTACATTGAAGGGGCTCCAATGATTAGACCCAAGTTAGTATTTATGCGCCAAACTGAGAAAGAGCTACTTTAATTGTCCTATTACAGACATCATGCTGTTTTACTTTTTGATCCAAATTCAAAAACTGCAAAAATGCAACATTATTTCTTTCTTAAAGATAAGGACCAGCTTTACTCCGTGTTGGCTTCAGGAACATGGTGATGGAGGTTCATCTCCCACTTCATCTCTGAGATCTTTAGACAAACATTGGCTACTTCCATAATCTACGCCTGGCCTTGGGCAAGCCCCTGTCGTCTGAGACAGCAGAATACAGGAGCCTGCTCTGGTGCGGGCAGCTCAGGGGAGGCAGGTGTGTGCATCAAATATGGATCCTCACAGGAAGGAAACATTCTGAAGGCTCAGAACATATTTCAAACTCATGTCACGTAACATAGGTGTCATTTTTACTTTATTTAAGGAAAAAAGGTTGGGGGGACAACAGTAATTTTCATAATACACAGTAGACAAGTTAGCACTGCAAAAAAAAGGGCTGTGTACTTGCCACCAGTCTGCTTTGCAGCTTTTATAATTAGTAAATTTAATGCAGTTTGTCATTTGTATTACTATTTAGCAAATTAATAATTGGCAAAATTAGGGTAAGTGTGCTACAACTAAGACGAAAACCTAAATAACCCATTAAAAAAATCACTTAAAATAAACCATAAATATGTGGTGCGCATTAGTGTAACAAAACCATTTTTGTAAACATTTTCTCCAACATTAATTAACATGTGCATGAGAAAAAAGTAAAAACACTGCACTCAATACAGAAAGGGTTACTCTGATCTCAATACAGAAAGGTTATTACTTACGAAAGCTTTGACTAAATCTAGAGATATTTTTGTTTTGTTTGGAAGAGCACTCCTATAACAGTTCAATGTTCCGTATGTAATGGAATCATTACAATACTGTTTTCTCGTGTAATTTTGCCATATTGGCACTTCTGTGGAGAAGTCACTACCCTGTAAAAGGGGGGAAAACAACTCCTTTCCTAAAAGAATCTAAACATTTCAACGACTCCTAATCTTTTATGGAGAAACTTCACTGGGTACCTGCATCAAGCTATAGCAACTCAATCTGGTTTACAAGGGGGTGAGGCTAAGAAGGGAAGGAAAAAAGGCAAGTAAAGCACAGACCAGGAAGCCCCCGCCTAAAGGGACAAAGGGTGGTCCAATTTCAGTAACTTAAGTTCAACAATGGATTCCATTCAGTTCACCACAAACACCAAGACAGTGCCCACGGGGTGCCTGGAGCTACACAAGCAGAGCAAGCACAACTCGGTGTGAGCTCAGACCCCTTCACCACCTATGGGAAAGCCAGTTTTCCTCAAGTTCTAAGCACTTGGTAATTCCAGTGAAACATCATTTGCATTTTTTGTGTAACCCTTGACTTACAGATGTGGAGCTTCAAGTCTTTGGATAATGCAAGACCACGATGCCACATTCTTTGTTCTCTGCCTTCTCCCACTTAACATCAGACATTGAGCATTTCTTCAAAGACATCTGCCCACCTTTTACTGTTCTCTAAAGCCAGGGAAGGAGCCACAGTCACCTGTGCCTTTCCTTCTTCTCTTGATATGTACACAAGTGTGTTCACTGTGGCATGTTTCATCTTATGAAAAGCCTAAGCGTGGATATAAATCACAAGCAGGAATTTAATTCTAACTAAAGTCCTGTGGTGATGGAATCCAGCCTACCTCAAATCCCTTTAAAGGTAAGATTAACTTTTCAACCTTCTCTAGGTTAATTACAAACCAGTAGGCGGCTTTGGCCTTCAGCACTGCTCCAAATTCGTACAAATGAAACATCCATTTCCATCTTCTTTTCCCTCCCCAAAAAGTAAGGCTTCTCAGCTTATCTTGTCTTTATGGGTATACACAAAACCACCAGCTGCTGTGTCTGCATTCATGGGTGGATGGATGTACTTGACTTACCAGATGTTTGTAGCTGAAAGGAGGGCCTTTTTCAAAAATGCTGAACCAGGAAGAGGAAACTGACAGGGGCCAGAGTGGGTGCCAAGTGGGATGGGAAGCAGACAGGTACAAATGGCTGCTGTGTTTAGGTGGGTGGGGGCAGAGGGAAAATCCCCCATTTTCACAATATACAGGAAAAGTAACCACAAAGGAAGAAGATTAAGCCTAAAAAACAGCAAGTTTCTTTCGATGACTGAGGTTAAAGCGGCCATAATGCAGTATTTCCACTCGGAACTCGACAAGAGGAAAGTCAGATGACAGGACTGGGACACGGAGCCCCTGATCCTTTTCTGAGACGGTAACATCCTTAGGGGAGCTGAGTGATGACCATGAAGCCATGAAACAGATTCTTTCTCAAGACATTTATTACAAATGTCATGAATATATTCATAAAGGAAAATCGGTTTAAAAAACAGAGAACAAGAGAGCAAGTGAGGAAACAAGAAAAGCCAGGACTTCGGTATTACACCTAAAACACAGAAGATGCCGACTTCATGAATAAGCAGAATTCACTACATTCTTAAAATAGTTTTAGTGCATTGCATTTTTAGAAAAGGGAAACCCCCGCCCACGAGAAAAGGTTCCTGCAACACTGAACAGTTTGTGTGACTATTCTAATGTGACCACCTGTCTGCTACCACCCACCCCCCACATCGAGAACACTGAGATCTCTTGTGTCACGGGCTGCAGTTGCCCCATCAACCTTTAACGCTGAATCTGGTGAAAACAAAGCATTCTGCTTTCTAAACTTGGAAGTAAATTGCATCAGCCTTAAGGCTATTTCCCATCTTCATGGACAGTTCTTGTGCCTGCTGACTTGTGACAATAAAAGTCAAACTTCAATCTGGTCATTTTGGTATTAAGATTAAATTAAACATTAATGGTTTCTTCCAAAAACATATAAACTAAATCACCTCTCAATGCATTAAGAACAATGAGGTAGGCAAAAAAAATAAACATGTGGTTTGAACTTTTTTCTTTCTTCTGCAAGTGCAGACTGTGGTAAAACTGTTGTTGCACTTCTAGGTTTAAACAAAAATTAAACCTTTAACTGAGGCAGTGCTAATACTGTCACACAACAAAGTTCTGGCCATTATACAAAATGCACACATTTTCTTTTTCTTTTTTTTTCCTTTTTTTTTTTTTTTTAGAACCATCTGCACATGATTTAGGCAACCTGGTACACAGAAAAATGACTGAGTTCTTGGCCAGGACCCCCGACCCCAAATCCAAAGAAACAAAATGGGACCCCTTAACCCACCCCACCCCATCTCCCAAGCCCCACCCACAAAAAAGTTATCCTAGTAACTGTGTCTTTCACATTTTATAAATATTAACTTCTTAAACCTGCATCTTCTTCTTTGTCCACATATTGTCACATTACAAAAAAGAAATGTCAATTAAATACACTGTTAATGTTACTATATTAAATCTGCTCTCTGCTTCAGCACTCTGCTCCTTTTACCACCACTTCTCACCTCCTTGTGCCCACTGCCAATAAAACCAACGGCGTGTTCATGGTCGCCACTGTCAGACACCCACAAGACAGAGTCATTCAGAGACAAGGAATTCTGGAGCTGGAGGAAAGGTGTTTGCTTTCCAGTATGATGCTCAATCCCAAACACTGATAGCACCTGATGGTAGAATCTGAACAGCACCAGCTGCATTGCAGCCTTGATTTATTTTGGAGTAAGAAAAAAAAAAAAAAAAAAAAAAGAATGGGGATAAACTGGTAAAACAGGAACAGGAAGGAGGGGAGAGAACCCAACACGTGAGGTCTGCACACACAGCTGTCCTGGTTGCCCTCGGTGCAGCTCCAAGCTCCAGTTACAAGGAATTCCAAGTTCTCAGGATCTTGAAGACTCTGGAGGCCAGTAATCCCTGGATCACACTGCTTCTACCAGCTCAGAAGAGAAGTCCTGCCTAAGGTCATGAAATAAACCTGACTGCTGCCACCAGACCGAACAGAGGCAAAGAACACCTGCAAAAGCCAGAAAAGAGAGGGTATGGTTACCATGGTCATGCAGCACTTCCAGCCAGGGAATCTAAGCCACCATCATCCTCAACACTGTACGAGAAGCTCAGACCCCCAAAGAGCCTTTTCAAAATAAACTGAGGCCGGGCGCAGTGACTCACATCTGTAATCCCAGCACTTTGAGAGGCCAGGAGTTCCAGACCGGCCTGGCCAACATGACGAAACCCGTCTCTACTAAAAACACCATGTGGTGGCACACACCTGTAATCTCAGCTACTCGGGAGGCTGAGGCATGAGAATCAATCACTTGAACCCAGGAGATGGAGGCTGCAGTGAGCCAAGATCACACCACTGCACTCCAGCCTGGGCAACAGAGGGAAACTCTATCTCAAAAAAAAAAAAAAAAAAGGCCGGGCATGGTGGCTCACGGCCTGTAATCCCAGCACTCTGGGAGGCCGAGACAGGTGGATCATCATGAGGTCAGGAGTTCAAGACCAGCCTGGCCAAGATGGTAAAACCCCATCTCTACTAAAAATACAAAAAATTAGCTGGGCATGGTGGTGGGTGCCTGTAATCCCAGCCACTCAGGAGGCTGAGGCAGAGAATTGCTTGAACCCAGGAGGCAGAGGCTGCATTGAGCTGAGATCACGCCACTGCACTCCAGCCCGGGCAACAGAGCGAGACTCCATCATCAAAACAAACAAACTAACAACCCACAAAAACCTCTGGGGCAATTATCAATTTATACTTTGTAAGGAGTGACCATCTGCAGCCAATTTTTATTACAACTCAGGCTTGTTACTACTAACTCCTTATACATTGGCATATTGTGAGAACACAAAGAAAAAAATGGATGTTTCTGAAGAGTTATTTCTTTCTGCTTCTACTGTTAACACCTTCTAATAAATAAATGTCTTTAAAAAACACAATGAGCAAAAACAAAAACAAAAAGAAAAAAACACACAATGAGCAACAGGGAAGACTCCTTAACAACTAATTTCTTTTTAAAAATCAACAAAAAATGTATTAATTCTTCATATAATCCATAAAGTAATAGAATTTTTGTGCCTTTTATTAATATATCTTAAAGGACATGACATGCATGATAAAAATATTTAAGTGCCTGAAATTCAAAGAATGTTATAGTTGCAGCCACGGTAAACATACTTAGGAAGGTATAAGCCAACAAGCTGACAAAATCCTGGATTAGGTCTGAGCTATAGAGATTTTCAAGGTCACAGATTTGGGAGATCATCTGTAGGCAAAACTTCACTTGAAACTGAGTTGTAGGGCTGCAGAAGACAGTGGGTGGGGGTGAAGCGACTTTGTGTTTGGGATGTATTGGGCAAGCAGGACCAGCTGCCAAGGACAGATGTGTAGTTTCTTCTTTCTCACATTAAATGATTAAATGTTTAAATCTGAGAACTGGGCTGACTGCTAGTCTGTCAATGTGAGGCAAAAGGCAGAAACATTCTTCAGAGCCAAGTTTCAAAGGTCTGACTGGACAGAAGAAAGAAAGGGTAGGCTTAGTAAAAATCAGTTCCACCCTCGATGCCTTCTCCCTTGGCAAACAGGGATGGGTCAACGCCCCTGGCCATCTACCTGCTCCCCTCCAAAGCCAGTTTGAAAGGGACTTCCTGGTAGGAAGTTGCCACAGGAATCGTCCCTGGAGTGATATGGCCAGTTCTGAAAAGCAAAGGGGGTGTGATGCCGTGGCGTCTCAGTTGCAGGAGGTTATGTTACGTCTGCATAAGATGATTTTTACTGTGAAACATTTCTGACATGCAAACCTAGGAAGCAATTTCACCACTCACAGACTAACAAGGGGCATCCTCTTGACACACATCAGGTGAGAGGAACCTTTCGATGTAGGCAAATCGCACGGTGGTTCCTTCCACTCACAAAAGAATTTCAGTCAACTCAACTGGCAGCTTTTATCTTCCCTATCTCTAAACTAATTGTTATAGCCTAGACAGGTCATTTAATAGAGTTAAAAATATATATACAAAGCAAAACCCAAATATGTTAATTTCTACAGCGGAAAAATATCTCTGTCCCCTCATAGCAAAAAGCAAAACATACCCCAATCCTCACAAACATGACTAAAAAGCAACGTTTAAAAAGTTCCTTGATTACCGCATGTTCTCACTCATAGGTGGGAACTGAACAATGAGATCACTTGGACTCAGGAAGGGGAACATCACACACCGGGGCCTATCATGGGGAGGGGGGAGGGGGGAGGGATTGCATTGGGAGTTATACCTGATGTAAATGACGAGTTGATGGGTGTAGCACACCAACATGGCACAAGTATACATATGTAACAAACCTGCACGTTATGCACATGTACCCTACAACTTAAAGTATAATAATAATAAATTAAAAAAAAAAAAAGTTCCTTGATTATTTTTATCAAAACTCCAAGGAAATTAATAATCAAACTCCATGCAAAACAAGCCATTACTAAAAGACAGAGTAACTAAAAAGAATCCATAAGAAAACCATTACCTTGTCATTGCGTTCACACAAGAATTTTAGTCTTTGAGCCCTTTTGTGCATGAACACACCATCCAAGTGACCAGTTTCCACAGATCGGATCTCTATGGCCTTCTCTCCCCAGCCCATTGTCTGATTGGATCGAATATACGCTTTTGGGGAGGGAAAAATTACAAACCATTAAAGATAAGGAAACAGCCCTGAAAAGATGTTGCTTATGTGATAAACAAATATTTTTATACTTTTAAATCTTTTTAAAATTTAAAATTTAAATGCCTAGCATTTAAATATTTGTTTTCAAGGAACTCTGCCTTTGTAACCACCTTGTCCATTCTGTGAAGGAGTGACTTGCATCAGTGGTTGATCTATTTCATTCTCCTTAGGCCTTTCATGCCTATCTAGAAAAATGAGCCACTGAGTTTAGAGTTTAGTGCACAGATTTTTATCAATCCAATCACGAGAGAAGGCAGGGAAGAGAAACGATGAGTGATCAGAGACAGTGACTTAACTACAATAAAACCAAAATAGTTTTGGAATAGAAACCCATGAAAATGTCAAATATCAGTCTTTATTACTGAACGCAAACTAGGAAACGATGCACAAGGCTGTTTGTAGTTACGGCTCTACCATTCTCAAGTGCAAATAATTTCCCTTTCTCTCCGTCTCCCTTTACCAATTCGTTACCAATTCTCTGTCTCCCTTTACAAAGTGGTCAACAAAAACATGTCCGATTTTCCTCTGGATGTTTTCAGGATTAAATGAGAGATTATGATAACAGGATTTTTAAAGTATAAAATAATTTCTTGGATTTTGTTGTAAAATAGATCTATGACTATTTCCACGGACTACAATCTAACTTTCTACCATCTACTGCCAACCACTCTGTTCAATGGTAGCCAAAAGGTCTGAAGGACATATAAAGTCAGCATGATAAATACATGCAGTCTCAGACACGGCTCCACGTTCACAAATGCTGCCTTTCCCAAGTTCTCCATACCTACTGACGTAGGCATCTCTCCCCACTGTAGAACTACATCCTTGGTGATCCTTCCATATGTGTTTACATAAACCCCCTCATCTTCATAGCACACCAAAAGCTCCATTCCATCTGTATTGGGGAGGATGATGATTGCATGGGGTTTGATGCTACACTGGATCTAGAGAACAGGAACAAAGTACAGGGAAGAATGTCTGTGGTTATTTCCAGCCCTGTGAAAGTGCTCAGTAAGACTCTTGGTGAATGCACTGGTACCATATCCCTGGTGATAAATACAGCAATTAGATAACATTTGAGAATACTCATGCAAAATATATCCCCAAGTCTGCTCTTTCCCAGTAATATACTCTACTGACTCACATCTCCTGAGGCCTATGAAACATATTTGGATGCTGGGCTCCAACTGAGAACCACTCCCAACCCAGGGATGTTCTGGCCTGCCAGCAACTGCCCCAAATCCATCCCATGTTAGTCAAAGCAAGGGCTAAGAGGTTTTCACAAGGGCTCCACAGAGCCAGGAAGGTGGATTTCCACTTATCTAGGAGCATGGAGCTACTGAAAATTGCTTATCATTTAAATACTCACCCCCACACCGAGGGGAAATGAAGAATCCCTGCTTGTGTTAGTTCACTAAGCAGAGTAAAGAAAAAAGTCAAAACAAAATGAAGCCAGTCAACCAACCATAGAGTGTGGGTTCTTTCTTACGTGTGTTGGTAGATAAATGTCATAGACTGATCCGGAATCCACATCAACAGCATGGAATCCAGCACAGGATCCATAGATCACTTTCAACCTCTGGCCTTCCTCAACAGTGAGATCCACCAGTAATGGCTTATGTACCAATTCTCCAAATGACTGCAAAGAAGCCATAAGAGAGAAGTGAGAAGATGAAAGAGAACTTACTTCTAACAGATCAAACTAGAGAAGACCCAACACACTCAGTTATTCCATTACTGAGCCACACTGGCAACAACCGTAAGGCAACAATACTCTACAAAATTAGTCTTTATTATGTTTTTGCCTGTTAATTAGCATCTGGAAGACACTTCTTCCAAAAGTTATGTTCCAAATCTCCCTATCCAGACCAAGATTTCTGCTCTGTCACTTACTGTGCTGTTGGCTGCCTTGATCAGAAAAGCATGCACAGTAAAATAGCGAGGACTTTCCTAAGCATACTACTCAACTATTCAAATGAGCAGGAGAGCGACAGGAGTTGTAGGTGTCACACACTGAAAACTGTATCACTATTACCATACTAACCTCTATTTGAACTATAAAGATCTCTAATTTTCTGACTAGACTAAAATGGTGAAAAGGCTGTATGTGCTACAACAGCTTGGATTGTGCTGGTGGTCTCCGTTTTTCATTGACATCACTACCCACAGTTCACGAGACTAGGATAATGAAACAGCAGCTTTAAATCAGGTAATATGTATAAAACCAACTAGTACGGTAACTGGTATATAAAGAACATCAAGGTCAGATCTCAGAAGATAATATAACTGTATAACCAACTATCTTTATTCAGTAACACTTGGATTTATTTTTTAAGCAAATATTGTAACTTCATTTATCCTGCTTCACTGGGAAATCAAGCACTAAGCAAACCAAAAATATAAATTTTCCAAATAAATGAAACTTACCCCTTCAATAAAATAAAATAAAAAAACTATTCTAAAAAGCCAATCACCAGGCAATGTGAGGTATATGTGTAAATTCCATGAGTATTTTTGTGAACTCACAAATGAAAACAGTCCTAATTTTAACACTAAGTACTCAATCATTTACTTTCCTAAAACTGTATACGTGCAAAATGGCAAAAACATCTTAATGTATACATTAGTTCAGATGTTATACCTGAGTTTTTTATTTAAACAAAAATGGAATCATATGAAATATTTTAACGTTTTTCACTTACTATATAATAATGTTCCTTGTCATTAGAATTTCTGTAATTTAATTTTTAATTAGTATTTTATGAACAGATATACCTTAAAACTGCCCGTCAGACACAGTTTTGCTATCAAAAACACATCTAAATCTTTATACGCATCCATGACTCAGGTGAAGGTCACCTCTTTAACCGGAGGGTGGAAGTGCTGTTCTCTTTTCCTCTGTTACCACACTGCCACATCAATTATAGTGTCTACCCAACATTTATCTCTCTCTCCTTCTCACTCTGTGGGCTTAGAAAGCAGATTAACTAAGCTTATTACATTACATTAGAAATGGTTTCTTATGATAAAGTTATATGCTATATTAGCACATAGCTTTTATATTAGCAATTTTAACAGTTCAGACTTTTTAAACGTATTCCCTGACTCTTGGTTGCAGCTTGCATGGCCAATACTATTTTTAAATTCACTTGATGTTGTTACCTTAAAGGCCATAAATTTGTGATATGGCTTTGGTGCCCACGCATAGACTTCCACAGAACTCTTCAAAGCAATCACCAGAAATTTGATTCTTTCATATTTTACTGAAAAACAGTAAATAAAAAAGCAAGAGAAGCACAGTCAGTATCAACATAGCCCTCTAAACTGTTTTAGTTGTCTTCTGCAAACTTTATAAATATGCCTTCTATTTATTCATCCAAACAAGCAGGGGAAAAATTCAGAGACAGATCACACCTCATAGTTTCCTTTTCCAACTCTTTAATGTAGTTTGACCATCAATGAGTACTTTCACTAATGATCCCCATCTTATAAAAGATTCCAAGATATTTTATAATCAAGGACAATGCCAGGTATACCACCCTAAAGTCTTCAAGGGCTCAGTATCACTCCAAATGAATAACAACATGATTAATCAGCCAAGAGACTTCTGAAACATACAGAGAGACTGAGGTACTCCTTACAACTTTCCCTAGTCCTGCATGGGGCTCACACAGACTGAGGAAGAAAAAAGGCTTATACTAAAATATTCAGGAGTCTTGGATTCTACCAACAGAAGTATCTGTGCACAAGTCCAAGTATCACTAAGACCATTTCCTGATCTACAAAAGTAGTAAAACTGCCTCCTTCCCATAGCTATTTTGGTGCCCTTACTGCCAGGCAACTCTGACAAAACAGGTACTCCCAGGGGTCCCTGAGTACATGTGACTTACTAATGTGCAGATCCATGATTTCTTTACAAGCTGACATCACACCACTACTTGATTCCTTCTTTGCGCATGAAAGAGAACTTAACTGATAACTCCCCTTGTTAAACTCTACATATTACCACTGTTTAAATAAATCAATAAACAAACATTAAGACACAAAGGTTTCTAAGAAACCAGTACTGTTTCATAGACGTCTGTGATGATAGAAATTCTCTGTATCTGTACTGCTAATATGATAACCACTACACACGTGGGGCTATTGGATACTCAGAATGTACTAATGATATTGAGGAGCTAAATTTTAAGGTTTATTTAATTTTTATTAATTTATTAAATAGCTCCCTGTTCTTGGTGGCAACCATAATGACAACAAATGAATGATATTATCCACACTTATTTCCTGAAAATACTTATGATTCATTCTGCACGAGTGACAGGCAAAAAGACTACTGTTCTGTTCTGGGGGAGAAGCCCAACAGACTTTTAACACGTCTGCCTCTTGCTCCCCCTGTAGGATAATCTATTCATGTACAGTTCATCTGTTATGAGCTGTTTCATTACATTTAGCCCTAGATGATTTTAGTTATACCTCAACAAATAAAAACACTTTCCATAAACACAGAAAATCCTAATCCTAAAATCTATCCTAAGCAGATAGTTCTCTTTCCCGTATCATCAGAATCGTCTGAGATACTGAGGCAGCTCCCACAATCACCACTAACCAATGAGCTGAGGGGTGCAGACAGACTACACGAACAAGGCAACGCCAAGCATGACAACATCCCTGCGAACAGAGGAACTGATGATGTACAGATTTCATAAACACAGAAAAAAGAAAACATGCAGGCAGAAACAGTCAATAGGTCCGTAACATTAATCAGTTTTAGGTATATAGAAAAACTTCCTGTTTAAATTCTGTTAAGAATATCACATCTTTCCCATATAACTTTAATTTAGCTAAGGTCCATTTTTTCTCCTGTATGTCTAACATTTGTCCCAGTATTTTGGTTTTTTCATATGTAAAAAAAAAAAAAAAAAAAAATGGTTTTGATTAGCTGGGCATGGTGGCAGGTGCCTGTAATCCCAACTACTCAGGAGGCTGAGGCAGGAGAATTGCTTGAACCCGGGAGGTGGAGGTTGCAGTGAGCTGAGATCGCACCATTGCACTCCAGCCTGGGCAACAAGAGCAAAACTCCATCTCAAAAAAAAAAAAAAAAAAAAAAAAAGTTCCGGTTTTGTTCCTGTGAGATTTTACTTCGTGAGAATCACTGCTTCATGCCAAGGAGAAAAAAACAATACAATTGCCATAAAACACTGACTGGCCAGCTGGGCTCACTTACTAGTGAGGAGCACAGTAGCTGTGCACAGGCACTTAAGTCAAAACGGCAGGCCATAAGCCCTAGAGTCAAACTCTCAAACTCTCTTACCAGTGCCTGCCAAGGACTTTCAGACCTCTAAGTGGAGAATAAGCCTGGCATGTAAAAAAGGACTCAAGTCAGCTGGCTTCCACTGGCAAGATTTCCTTAAAGAGGTTACCATGAACCACATCTTACAGAGGACAGGAATGTGGACTGTCAAAGAGGAGGAGTGGAAAGACTCTCACAAGACGAACAGCGTAGGGGAGACTGAGGGTGGAGTGAGTTGCAGGGACCGACTCTGTTATGCATACAGGTGCACAGAGGGAATAAGACAATGTCTAGATGAGACTTCAAGATTAGAATGTGCCTTGGAAACAGAACACCAGAAATGATCCACGTGTTTCAGAAACAAGTCTATTACTACAAACTTCAGAAAGACCCGTGAAAATTTAAAGTTTAAAATTCAAACTGAACTCTAATTAAACTCTGGAAAGACAAAATATGACGCTTCTAGAACTTACCAACTTTATAATGTACACATCCTTCCAAATCCCCTACGGTTGTCCATCCCTGCTTCTTCTCAACTTCTGGATCATTGTGAAGTATTTTATTTCTTAACCAGGACAAATAGTAGACACGTAACTTATCCTTTTTGCCTAGCAAAACAAATATAAATATTTTACACGCATATTCAAAAGTAGGTCTCATCATTAATAACAATAGTAACCCAAAGAAACTTCTACAAAGAGTAAATATCATTTCCTCCAAGAAAACCCCTTTGTATCAAAGTTTTACTAGAAACTCAATTCAAGTTGCTCAGATGGACTTTTGAAATCCCTACAGAATTATCACTGGGTACAGGCCTGGGCTAGAGGGAAAGTTTTTAAAAAACAATAAATTCACACTTATGTAGATGGGTAGTAGCAATAAACTACAAAGTAATACAAATATCTGCATAATACAACCAAAAGAGCTTATAAGATGCTTTCACATGTACTATGCCATCTGATTCTCAAAACCCTCTAGAGTAGCTACTATCTCCCATTTGACAGATGAGCACAAGGGTTAAATCAATCACTTAATGCCAGCACTTAAACCTAGGGAAAGGCAAGTCACAAGCTGGAGATGTGTACCACAGAAACAGCTGACAAGGGAGTCATATCCAGAATATGTAAAGAACTCCTACAAATCAAATAGAACAGGAGATAACCCAATAGAAAAACTGGACGTGCCACTGTAACCGGAACTTCGCAAAAGAAGTGATCTCAGAGACACACAAAAAGATGCTCGTTCTCAACAGTAATAACGTGTGTTAAAACAATAATGAGATGATTTCATACACCTATTGGAATGTCTAAAATTTAAAAGACTGACAATATCAAAGGTAGGCAAGGTGTGGAACAACTAGAAGCTTCAGAAACTAGTGTGTAAACTGTTAGAACTGCTTTTGTAAGTTTGGCATTATCTATTAAAATAGGACATGTGCATATCTTACATATGATCTGGTAATCTCTCTCCTAATGTAAGTGTATGTGTATGCCCCCAAGTACACCAACAGGAATGTTCATAGCACCATGGTTCCTAATAGCCCCAAACAGGAAACATTAATGTCTGAATGAATAGTAAAATGAGTAAATACATTGTGGTGTAGTCATCTAAAGGAACAAAGAGAAACTACAGCTACAAGCAACAACAACAAAAACGATGGTGGGCGAAGCCAGCCACACACTCACATCAACAAGTTAAGAAGAAAAATCACATGATCATATCAACAGATGCAGAAAAACATCTGACAAAACCCAACACCTACTCATAATAAAAACTTTCAGGAAAATAGGAATAGAGGGGGAACTGCCTCAATTTGATAAGAAACATCTACCATAAAACCCTACTGCTAATGTCATACGTAATGGCAAGAAACTAGATGCTTTCCTTGTAAGATAGACAACAAGGGAAAGATTTCCCTTCTCATAACTCCTAGTAAATGTTATATTGGGTGTCCTAGCTAATGCAATTAGAAAAAAAAGGGAAATAAAAGGTACAAGGACTGGGAAGGAAGAAATAAAACTGTCTTTCTTCACAGAAGACATGATTGTCTACATAGAAAATCCTGAAGAACCAATAAAAAAAAAAAATCCAAAACCAACCAACCAACCAAAAACCCTGCTGGAACTAACAAGCGATTATAGCAAGAATTATAGCAAGCTTGCAGGATACAAGCCTAATAAAATAAAAAGGTCGGTCACTTTCCTGTATTTCCTGTTTACCAGCAACAAACCATTAGAATTTAAAATTAAGACTACAACACCATTTATACTAGTACTTAAAAAAACAAAATGGGTAAAATAAATCTAATAAAATTAGTCCTTTGCTAGTTTTATTTAAGGAAAACTGCAAATTCTGATGAAATCAAAGAAGAACTAAATAAATGGAGAGAGATTTCCATCTTAATGGATAGAAGATTCAATATTGTCAAGACATCAGTTCTTCCTAACTTGATCCATAGAGTCAATGCAATTCTAATCAAAATCCCAAGTTATTATGTATGTATCAATAAGCTGACTCTAGAGGCAGACTGACAGTACCTGACTTCAAGATTTACTATAAATACAGTAATCAACACAGTGTGGTTATTAGCACCAAAAGAGACAAATACATAAATGGAAAAAAAAAAAAAAACGAGCCCAGAAATAGAACTATATGTCGGGCGCGGTGGCTCATGCCTGTAATCCCAGTACTTTGTGGGGCAGAGGTAGGTGGATCACGAGGTCAGGAGTTCGAGACCAGCCTGACCAACATGGTGAAACCCCGTCTCTACTAAAAATACAAAAATTAGCCAGGCATGGTGGCACGTGTCTGTAATCCCAGCTACTCGGGAGGCTGAGGCAGGAGAATCACTTGAACCTGGGAGGCGGAGGTTATGGTGAGCCGTGATCTCACCAATGCACTCCAGCCTGGATGACAGATCAAGACTCCGTCTCAGAAAAAAAAAAAAACAAGAAACAGAACTATACAAATACAGTAGTAATCTTTGACAAAGGAGTACAAGCAATTCAATGGAGAAAGGCTGGTCTTTTTAACGAATGCTGCTGCAACAACTAGATACCCACATGCAGATGAAAATATCACTACACAAACTTTGAAACTTTCACAAAAATCACCTCAAAATGGATCGTGGACCTACATGTGAAACACAAAGCTATAAAGCAGATTCTAGAAGGTAACAGAAGAAAATCCAAGGGACTCTGGATTTGGCAATGACTTTTTAGACACAATACCAGAAGCACAGTTCATGAAAGAAAAAGCTAGTAAGTTGGACTTCACTAAAATTAAAAACTTCACTTCTGTAAAAGACATCATTCCACAGCATGAACAAGCAAGCCACAAACGGGCAGAAAGTATCTGCAAAACACATACCTGACAAGAGACTTCAATCTAAAATACAACTCAACAATAAGAGAGCAACAATCCAATTACAAAATGGATTAAAGATAGAAGAAATACCTCACCAGAAAATATACGTAGGAGATGTACCATATGTCATTAGGAAACTGCAAATTAAAGTGAGATATGCCTATTAATTCCTACACCCCTTTAGAATGGCTAAACTGCAAAATACTGAAAAAACATTTAGAAAAAGTCTCCAAAAAAAAAAAAAAAAAGATGAAACAGCCGTCACTAGAACACATACTGTTTTATCATTATATAAAATTAGTTCAATGGAGGCAAAATCGACCTAACGTGTTCAAAGTCTGGACAGTGCTTGCCTCTGGAGGCAGTCCCTGGGTGGCTTCACAGGGCAGGTTTTGGGGTGCTGGCAATATTCCATGTCTTCAGCAGGGTGGGGCTATCTGGATGGATTCTGCGTGTGACAGCTCACTGAGCTGTATGCTTATCTGTACTTTCTGTGTATGTCATACTTCAGTATAATCCTTTTAACTTTTGGGGAATTGTTTGCAGGAAAATATTCAATACATGTTAAGAGAAGAAAAAGACCACATAGTTTTTACATATAATGTTTTGTTTCCATCTTGTGAGATATATTTACAGAAAAGAGGAGAGGGAAATACAAAATGTTAGTAAGAGTTACCTCTGAGATTGGGGTGACATTTTGTTTTAGTCTTCCTAAGTTTTTTCTATTTTTGAAGCTTCCTACAATTAACATGTACTACATTTATGATTGTGAAAACCATTAAAAGCTAATAAGGAAGGAAAAAAAAACCAGAAAAGTAGAACAAAAAATGATTACTGGTATCAGCTGATTATAATGGTTAATTTTTTTTTTTTGAGACAGGATCTCACTCTGTCACCCAGGCTGGAGTGCAGTGGTGCTATCACAGCTTACTACAGCCTCAACATCCCAGGCAAAAGCAATCCTCCTGCTCTGGCCTCTCAAATTGCTGGGATTACAGGCATAGGCCGCCGCACCTGGTCTCAGCTGATTACTGATCCCCATGAACTGTCTAGTTTCACTGGATCACTAAATGCAGATTTGTTTTCTCCAACTTAAATAACTACCAGCCATCAGCACTCTAGTTTTAAATGGCTGTTTCCTCATTTAAGTATAAACGGTGAAATTTTTGCATTTCAAGAAACTCCTTTACTTAACAACCAAAAGCATATATGAGAAATAAAATAACTACAAGCAAATATGTTACATAACAAGCTTGTACTAACAAGCAGATAATTAAATCAAAATCATTGGTGGTTTCATAAGTGATTATAATATCATAAGTGACTGTAAGTGGTGGTATACAAGACCCATTTAAAGTCTTATAATTTTGCATACCATTTGACCAAGCAATAACACTAATTATTAGGAAATTATGGTCTATGCAACATGGTATGTGCCTAAAGGTTAAGTAAGCTACCAGGATATCTGTGAAAAATGTTCACATGAGAGAAAAAAAAAGGGAATATACCTAAAGGGCAACAGGAGAAGATAAGTAAATACATTTTAATACATCTATGCAAGGAAACAGCCTGTGGTCATATAAAATGGAGGCCATGGAAGGATGTTCAATGGCATAGAGAAAGCAGACTATGTGTTTTGGACAATCAGGCCTGGATGGGATACACCCGAACTTCAGGACAGAGGTTGCCATGGACAGGTAGATGGGGGAGGAACAGGGATGCTGATCGTATGTACAATAGTGTACTGTGACAACTGTTCAAACCAGCAAGTTATAGTCAGTACGTGGGTGCCATTATTCCTATTATCCCCTGTATGTTTGAAATATTGTATAACCATTTTTATGCAGATTTTTCCCCTTAAGTGTATAGTAAGTGTGATGTATGCTTAAAAGACTGGAAGTTAAAAACTTACAAAAGTTAAAAGATATGATGTCTGGATGATTTTACTTTTTATTTCTCCTAGTTGTTTTCCTGTAGTAGTTTATATTATACAATTTACACTAAGAAAAATGCTCTTCTTAAAAAGAGACGTAATTGGCCTGGCGCGATGGCTCGCGCCTGTAATCCCAGCACTTCGGGAGGCCAAGGTGGGCAGATCACGAGGTCAGAAGATCGAGACCATCCTGGCTAACATGGTGAAACCCAGTGTCTACTAAAAATACAAAAAATTAGCTGGGCGAGGTGGCGGCGCCTGTAGTCCCAGCTACTTGGGAGGCTGAGGCAGGAGAATGGCGTGAACCCGGGAGGCGGAGCTTGCTGTGAGTGGAGATCCCGCCACTGCACTCCAGCCTGGGGGACAGAGCGAGACTCTGTCTCAAAATAAATAAAAATAAAAATAAAAAAGAGACATAATTGTCTTAATTCACATAATAAAAACCATAATACTATACTTTTACAATAATGGCAAAGAATACTTCCTTTTGCACGTACAAAAATTAGCTGGGCGTGGTGGCGCTCGCCTGTAGTCCCAGCTACTCAGGAGGCTGAGGCAGGAGAAATGCTTGAACCCAAGGAGGTGGAGGTTGCAGTGAGCCGAGATCATGCCACTGCACTCCAGCCGGGCAACAGAGCGAGAGACTGTCTCAAAAAAAACAAAGAACCAAAAAAAAAGTCTGGTGGAAAGGAGTGGCCAGAGACCTACATATTGGATAAGGCAAATGAAATCTACCAAGCACCTGGGCAGAGAGAGCAGCGAGAGATGCCAGTGAGAAAGCACACATTCGTATGCTTCTCAAGACTGCTTTTGGAGGAGCCACAGATCAAATGCGCGTGTGTGTGTTGCATCTGAATACATCTTCAGCTCACATGATTGTCAGGCCTCGATGTGGCTGTATCTTATTTAACCAGTACATCAGAGAATGAGCTAACTGAAGTTTAGTGTGTAAAGCTACAATACTGTTAAGATTGTTTAGTGTGCAAAGCTACGACATTGTAAAACAACCTTGTAAAGCTACAAGATTGTTAACAATAGTGTTACGATGGTGTCACATATTCTGCTTTACAAAACAAATACTCACCAGATATTGTCACCAAGACATTCAAGCCCTCAAGTACGTCCATTTGTTGAAATCGTCTTCGGTTGATCAGAGGATAGACCTTCCCTTGGCCACTTCTGTCCAGCAGCATCAGGCCACTCTCTGTACCCACTAGCAAATTCACTCCTGTTTCAGGGACACAGAAAGGCCTCAATTTTATGCTATGCTTGGCAAATCCCCAGGTTGCACAGAAAGGATAACATCATCTATTTGGAAAAAAGTGCAGCTTCCTTAATTCACCCAGAAGAAGAAATCCTTAAAATAGTCAGAGGTCAAATAGTTAAAGTAACCAATCCTGTAACACATCACCATGTAGCAATGATGCTGACATATTTAAACAAAAGAAAGGATAAGGGAAAGAAAAAGAAACCCTTATCCCATTAATTTCCTTAATAATCCATTAGTTTCTAATTCTTCCTCAGTTCCTCGAGAATGTTATATGCTGATTATTTCCTGTCTTTACAGATTCTATGTCTAATTAGCCACATCACACATTTGAACAAACCTTCACCTGATACCATGATCTCTTTGTGCTTCCTTATCTTTCATTGGCAAATCTCTGGAATGGGCCACATACAGCCCTCAAATCCTTAACAGCTTATGATTTGGCTTCCATCACTCACGTTTAAGCTTTTCTTAAAGATTACTTTCCACCATCATCAAGAAACAACTGCACTCAGTTCTCTTGTCCCTCCATTTCTTAGGACTATCAAAATATTGTGACCTCCCCATGTGACTCACCCTATTTCTCTAACCTTGTACTGTCACAGTCTCCACACTCTTCTGCTGTGATGTGACATCTTCTTCCTTGTTTCCACACTTGCCCTCTGCTTCTTCAGTGGAGACATTTCCACTGGTGTCCATTTGGTGACACACACACACCTGTGTGTGAGCGTGCCTCAAAACCAGTGACTCCTAATTCCACGCTGCTAATTTGCCTCCTGCTTTCCACCCACTGCAGATCTCTACTGAAACTAGCCTCATAACTTTTGCCATTTCTATCAACAGCTCCCAAGCTGCTCTGCAAAACTAGCTAAAACTGGCCACTAGAGCCAGAGAAAACCTCTTCTCTGTGCCTACTTTCCCTTTCCTCTGCTCTCACAATTGTTCAGGCTTTGGCAGCCTTGTAAGTGATGGATAGAGACCTTAATTAAGGTTGTTAAAGGAGCTTCTCTCTACTTTCTCATGATGTACATCCAATCAATCCTAATCTTGCTAAAATACTCAAGTTATGACTACCTTCAAAAACTGCACATTCCATGTAGAAATTGTCCCAAAGGCCTTGGGCTGGCATCTAAGACTGATTACCGCTTGGCCAAAGCACTTCTCCCTCTTGATCATTCATGTATTTCCCCAAATGCTCTTGTTCCTTGATCTAGAACCTTCACTGTCAGAATCACCTTTGTAACATGTAGCACAGACGACCTTACATTCCTAGGGAATTGGATACATACATGTATGTGCTGATTTCCTCAGTCATCAGCTCATCAAGACAAGGAATAAAGTATTTGTGTAGAGGGAGTGAGGGGGAAGAATATCATGGCACACACACGTATGCCCACACCCCATTTCCAGATAATTTGAAATAAATAATTGTGACGGCACTGACAGAACAACGCTCCTAGAGCTGTCTCTCAGTTCGTGCCTGGTCCCTATCGAGTTGACCGAGTTGGGATTATCCCAACATCTGGAGGAGAGTATCCACCCAAGCAATGCTTGTGGGGATACTGATTTAATGCTTAGAGATTAAAAAAAAAAAATGCTGTACAACTTAAAGAAAAATATTTAAATATGTAATATGTGATTCATTTTCATATAATTTTATTTTTGAGGTTGGCCATTCTGCCCTGACTATATCCTTGTCAAGGTGGAACTTATTTGAATATTATGCTTAGTGTTTTCCCTGCATATATCTAGGCAAATTGATCTAAAACAGCTCAGAAATTATTGGCAGAAAAGACACATACTTATTGATAGAACTGCTGCCAGACAGATACCATTTCAAAGGTTCTATTTTACACAATATTTTGTTATTTTCCTGGTCAATCTTCAGTATCAAGTAGATTTTTTTAAACTCCTATGTCAAGAATCTGGTAATAACTACACAAAATATGAGCCTTGTGACAAAATATTATTTGCATTTCTAAAAATGAACATATAAACATCAACCTCAAGATTTTACAGTGAGAAGGAATGAGGGAGTAACAAGATAAGCTGAAGACTCTTCAAAACACAAAAGCTGAAGGTATTGTGGCACTTACACTCTATCTTCTACTTCTCCATGATATATTTCCAAATTGTATAATTGTACAGTTGTATAATTTTATAAAGTACTGAATGCTACTAGTCAAAAGAATATAGTCACTGTGAAGTCCTTGGAAATTACGAGCATGAAAAATGAAAAATACTGGGTTGCATGTTGCAGTAAGTTTTTATAAATATACTTCAACATTTCCACTGCTAGATATGATTGAATTTTATAGTGAAAACAGTCAACCTCAGGGTTCAGGGGTACAATGTACACTACTGAGTATAATGTGCACTATTTGGGTTGATGGTTACACTAAAAACCCAGACTTCACCACTATACAATATATCCATGTAACAAAACTACTACTAAAAATTTGTTCAATAAAAATAAAATGGAGATTAATCATTCCAATATTTGACAGTTAAAATGAGTCAAGCATATGTATGTGCCACACCAGTCTGCTAATATACCACTCTGCATATGACAGGAGATGGGCATCACAGAAGTCTTCCATCCCGTCTATCCACAAACTATTCAAAGCAGTACTTCTCTAAAAGACCAGCCACTGCTCAGAATAAAAATGAAAGTGTTAGAGTAGTGGCTAGACACCTACCCCATAAGGCAGCACACAGAATTTCAGAGTTAAACCTCTTCTTGTATTTACGAATCTCTGGGGTATCACTCTGTGGCCTAGTGTTGGTAGGATTCACATTGACCACTGAGCCTTTCCGGGTAGGATCTTGCCTTATGGCTTCTGGTCTCATCCCATCACAGGAAAATCCCACTGAAACACAATACATTTGAAATTATTTTCTGTACACACACACACCATGCCTGCCTCCCTCCCCCAATACATTTCAAGTAAATATTCATGTGGTATAACCAACACTTTGTCAAAGAGAAGATATCTGTAAGCAATATGTATGGAAAAAGGAAATGGACTCTGCAGAGCATTGCAAATAAGGCAATCCAACTGGGATGGGAAGTTTCTGTACCTGAGGTCTGTGCCTGTGAACAACCAGCTACACCTAAGCCACCCAAAAGAGCAACTCAAAGATAAAGTCCCATTTGTCAGCTGCTTTCTTGTTGCTACTGTACTTACCCACAGAAGTCACTGTTGTTCCACTAGATGGAGAAATCTGTAGTAATCTGGGGTCTATAAAAGGTGTAAAGGAGGAGGAAGATTTGTGTTTCTGGAGTGTGCTACTAGCGGACTGAGTCTGCAATGTAAATTTCAATGTTATTAATACAACTGGCATTTTAAAAATGAACATTAAAAATATACATTTCAATTCACTTCTGTGTTGCACTAACTATTTCCCAATACTTTGCTCTACTTCTCTTGCATCATTACCCCAAAAAATGCTCTGCAGGGAGCTTCCACATGGCATAGCAACCCTCAGGGCAGGCTGCTTTACTTGGAACCACTGCAGGAGCCATATCTCTACCAGAGACATTGCTCATTTACAAAGCGGTGCTGCAAGCTACCAATGAAATCTGTATTTCGTGTGCCTAGCTTTAAAACAAATTAAGTAAATACTTATAATGAAACTCCTAAAGGAGGTCTGAAATGTCTATCTCAATTCACCCATTTCTGAATTTATTCTCCTACCCAAAAGAGTCCAAATAACCTATGCTGGAATATTGGCAATTATTAATAATTCTAGTTATTTTAAATTGAGCCTCTTGCCAGAAAGCTACAGAAGCTCTGGCTACTGTTGTTTTAGGTGCATCACCATTAAACCCATACCAAATGGGGACTCAGTGAAAGTGCAAATGACAAAAGAAGGCACATCCTTTTGATCTTTTAGGAGCACTAGTGTTTTGGTTAATAATGTAACTTAAGACAAAAAAACACAAAGAAAGTGAAACAAATTGTTAAGTGGAAATGTAATGACAATTAAAAACAAAACAAACAGAAAAATAAATTTGCCGGTTTAGTGAGTTAAGGGTTATAGTAAAATACTGCACATTAGAGCGAAATGGAGCAAAGTTTAAAATATAAATATAAGGAGGAATGTGAGTGTAGGTGGGAAATAGATCTCAGGAGAAAAAAGGAACATGTCTGATCAAGTGCTTTTGTCCTGTACCATTGGACCCCTCCATGGACACCGAGAGTCGCCATGTCCTAGAGCCCATGCCCTCCCCGAAGCTTCCCACCTGAACGTCTGTCCCCTGGCAGCTTCCCTCCCTGTCCCATGAGTCAGTGGCCAGTCCAGTCGATGCCAAGCCTGTCTAGGAAGCAGTTGACTTGCCCCTGCTCCTCAGGAGGAGAGGATTTTTCTGATTCTTTCTAACCTCCCTCAACTGGTAGATAAAGGCACTGAAACCAAATCTTCTGTGGAATCAAATCACTTGTTTAATTCAGTACGGGTGCTCGAGTGGGCTACGTCACTACACCTGGAGTATAACCCTGTTCAAAGAGCAAAGAATCACCCAGACTGAGCTAACACCCAGACTGAGCACCACAACCAAGCCTTCAAAGGCGCACACAGATTTCCCACACAAAATTTTAAATTAAAAACAAGCTCAAACCTTTGCCCTTCTTGCTTAACATCCTAATTTTTTCTAGGTTTCCCAAAAATAATTCGGCTTCTAAACCACTGAGTGATTATAAATTTCAAAGAACGAAATCCTTAACAGAGTTGGTGAAAACAAGTAAGAGTAATCAACCAACAGCCACCCCCAAAACAAGGAAAAAAAAAAAACAAAAAACACCAGCTCTGTTTGAAAGAGACTCCTGTACAGGATAACAAGTTTGTCCAGGTAAGGCCAAGCCTGCTGAACCGAATCTTCCTATATTTTATTTATTGGATAAAAAGAATGAAAAAGGCAGATTCCACAAATGACTATAAGAATTTCATGCCAAATACATAATATGGATCTGAGGATACAGAATTTTATTTAGACTTTAAAAAAAAAAAACACAAAAACTAGATAAAGAAAGCCATGCAACTATACTTATCTAGAGAACAGTAAACAGTGAACTGGCAAGTTTTGGGGAGCTGATCTAGGGTTAAGGGGTTTATATGCAGATCTGAAACATGTTACTTGGGGTTGGGGAGAAGGGTAGGTGACAGAGAAAGCAGGGTGGGAAGGGAAGGGGTGAGGGTGTTGGAAAGGTCTCCTTTGCAAACTAACTCCTAGGCAGTGCTGGTCTAACCCCAGGAAAGCAGCCAGCTGTGGTGCGAGACATACCTCATTAGCAGTGAGCTTGTCCTGGGGTGTCTGTGGGGACATGGTGGGTGTCGGCTGGCTGGAGGATGGGGAGGAGGAGGTGGAGGAAGTGGAGGAGGAATGGCTTTGCTGTAAGAGATCTGGCAAGAGGTGAATGCGACCGGCAAAGCCATTGCTCTCATGATGGCTGGCACGCTTTTGGTCAACTGTACTCTGTAGAAAAAACAGGCACACTTGTCTCGCTCAAGCGCAGCTAAAATTGCCTATGGCCCTATTGATAACTGCTTTAAGGTGCTGTGTGACTTATAAATTCTGCTAAATTACCAAGGAAAAACCAAAGAAATTAGCCTGAACTGCTCACACTTCCTCACCAAATGCCTAACTTGAGCCAACAGAATTCAAAGTACCTCATCTGGTGGCTGCACGACTCGAGCAGTGAGTGTTTAATCTGGTTTATCTGTTGCGCTAGCTTCTGTTACCAAAACCAGTATCCTTTTTTTTTTTCTTTTTAAATCTTTCTTTCTAAAGGTCCAGAAAGTACCTGTGCATTCTCTGAATCCTGGTCTTTTCCATGTTCTTCCTACTTTCCATCCGAATGCATTGCCATAGCATGAAACACAATTAGGGCAAAGTCCAAAATACTAAATAGGTGCCCTGTTCTATTTAAATGAGAAGCGCATCACTTTAATTAAGTCTAAGCTAAGAAACGAACAGACAGTTAAAAAGCTTAGTGATCCAAACTGAGCATATCTGGGTGGCACACATTTAATTATTCAACAAGTGAGAAAACTAACATTTTGGAACATAGAAGAGAAACCTCCCGAACCCTTCTGCTCTCCGAGTCTCTGGGCCTGTGATGAGGCTCGTCCTGCCTGTCTCACCCGCTCCCGCTGTGGCACTGCAGACACTCAGAGCCAAGCGTGCTCTGCAGAGCCAAGGTGGTTACTCTGCCAGACTCCAGACCTGCTTCCTCACTCTGCGAGCCTGTTTAAGGACTCCCTGTGGCTTCTCTCCCCCTCAGACATAGACTGTGAGACTCAGCGCGGTGCTTGAATGAGGGCTGCCGCAGACATGCAGAGGAGCAGCGATGTGGGGTGGAGACTACTCGCTACCTTCCGGGCATGCAGTACACACCTGCCTCCCTAGCCCCCGACACTTGACACTTGACCCTCTGGGACTTGTTAACATGAAAACAGATGATGATGGAGAAACAGCATGAGTGAGTGAATGAGCAAGTGGGTTAATGACCACAGGAGAAGCTCAGCCTCTGACGACAGAGAAGACATGGGTACCTGGCGGACGATTAGAGTGCCCTCCTTGGATGGGGTCATGGCCGGCTCACTTTCTACATCATCATGGACAATCATGGTTTTCACAGATTCCGTTTCACCATTGCTCAAATTCAGAGATGACCTATAGGGACAAAATCCAGAAGTGAAAGGCCTTAATCTCTGGAGTCAAGGAGATCCTGTTTATGCTTTTTGCCTTCTCAAAATCAAAACATGAGAGGAGGCTACCGGTATAAAGCCTCCTCCAAAAAAGCAACTGCTTAGCTTTCTCCCTTTAACAAAGAACTTCCTTCCAGTGCCATTTGTTTCTGAGCAAAAACTTAGAACGAGTAATCACAGCTAATTAAAGTAGTTATATCAAACTGAAATTTCCCCTGGATCATATATCCTCCAATCAAAAGGAAAAAATAAAGTACACGCTGGGGTGCTGGGGGAAGCACTGACACATGCACACACCAACGAGGAGAAGGGGAAACACAAGGCGGCCTGCTGCTGAATCCATGAGAACTACGTAGCAAGTGCTCATGGGGTCACACAATAGTCTAGGCACAACTGGGTCCCAGCGGAAAGCAGGCTCTGAGAGAAAACTCTCATCAGCTCTAAAAGAGGCCGGGGACTGACGCTGCTCTGGTGTCCTCCGGTCCCGAGGTGGACTCGTCGGCCCCTTCCTGCTCCACATCATCGTCCTCCTCATCTGTCGTCCCCGACTCCTCACTGGACGAGGAGTAGTCCGTCACTTTGTGAGGCGGCCGTACATCTTCCACCGCTCGAAGCTCTTTGGCCAGTGCGGTCAGATCCTAAAGCAAAGGACAGAAAAGAGAGAGTTAAGTCAGGCAACGGGGGGGCAGGGACAGGAGAAGATGAGAAGTTCTTTAACCATAAATTGCCACAATGTCAGTTTTGTAAGACTTTTGTAGAGTCGTTACCCAGTTTCATACGAAAGTGAGCTCCTACGGCTTTTGACAGAAAAGACCAAAGAAAGTCAAGAGAGAGATAAAAAAATAAAAGACACCAAAAAAAAGTCAAAGATGTCATATACAGTTCAAATCCCATGCCAATAAAAAAACACAATGATCTGCTTATGATAAGCTCACAGTATTGTTGTTTTTTAATATGAGGTAAAATTCTAGATCAACAAATGTATATACACAGACCCTTGGGCTTTGTCGTAAGGACATCTCCCTATATGACAAAGTCTTCTTTAGACGTAGCAACGCTCTAGTTAAACAGGCCTGATATAAAAGGTTTTGAGGGATACATTTTTATTTTACTTCAACTTTTACTATTAAAAACTTCAACGCTCTAAGGTTTAATATTTAATAAATGTTTATATTTACTATTTGTAGGATATTTATGAAATTTTAATAAATATTAACATTTTACTATAATCAACATTTTAGGTTTAATATTTTATTAATAAAAGTTGTAGAAACGTAACTTCCCTCCCACAACTCTTTAAGTCAGGCCTATTTAACTAGAGGCTTGCTTTCTGGACTGCCCCCTTTAAAGAAGACTTTGTCATATAGGCATGTGTCTTCACACCAAAGCTCAAGGATCTGTGTATATATGTTTGATGATCTAGAATTTTACCTCATACTGAAAAACAAAAAAACCAAAAAACTTCAAACCCACATTACAATGAAAGAGGAGTGAAGTGAGCACTAGGATGCCATTTACATCTCACTTCACTGACTGTTCACAACCTGCCACATTCATGGACAAGTCCGAGACACATGAAGAGACAGTGGCAACCCTGAGTGTGGGGGCAGGAGGCTATGGGCGTCCCTATCGCCCTCCTTCAAGCCTTACCACATCCCCCTGTAACACCACCTATGAATAGGAATATCCGAAAGAAAAGAAACCAGTAGTGGAATTTGTTCCAAAGGCTTCGTTTCCCTTTACTCTTCCACACTGAGGTATTCTTAAGATTCAATCAATCCACCAAATAATAATTTTCAAGAGTGATTACTATTTATACTACACATTTTCATATAAAACTCCAAATTCATCTTTTTTTGGGAATTTTATTTAAAAGTAACCACTTTTTTAAAAGGCAGTCTATGTAATTCTTTTTGTCTTTTATTTCTAGCAGTTCCAACTTGGTTTTCTTTTTTTTTTTCCCCACAGTTGAGAATGTTTCTTTTCTTTGAGCTTGAGCCTCTGAAATTACAGTGATTGGACTCTGAGTCTTGCTATTAGTATTTCGTGGTGATAGCTGCAGCTTTTTAAACAGTTACTCAAAAAAGCTACATTTAATAACAATAAATACAGCAAATGTTATGTTAAGAAAGCTGGAGTAAAGTTTAAGGTTTTTAAATTCCAGAAAAGAACAAGAAGTCAAGTTGAGGAAGGAGCAGGATCGCAGCTTGAATACAAGCTGAGCTGACAGGCGGTCGGAGTGCTGCTCTGAGGCAGAACTTTTCAGAGATGGCGCTTACCACTTCGCCCTTCGGTACAGCGCAGTTTCGTGTAGTCCGAGAAGCCACCGTTGATGAGGAATGCACAGTACAAGGAAGCACGGGAGAAAGAAGGGGAGAGGGAGAAGTACAGAAATCAGTTCAAGCAGGAAATGAAAACTCTGACAGGCTTAAAATTCCGCGAAGTGTGCACAATTACGTGGTCAGGTAACATCAGAGGGATTAAAAGAGAAGGGTGAGAAGCAGTCACAACTATCACCCCAGGAACCAAAAAGCAGAAGGTAGGCAACCAGTGAGTTTAAGAAGGTGATTTTTAAAAACTTACTCTGAAAGCCAGTATTGTAAATGACAAACCAGAATAAATAAAGGTTAATGCCAAGAAAGAGATAAAAACCTTTTCTTTTGTACTTTTTTAAAAACATCAGTTTCCTTAGAAGGAAGTTTCGTTAAATAAAAACTATACTTTGTTCTGCATTATTTTGTAAGGCTGACTGTACACCAAGTGTATGGCTGGAACAATAGAACACAAAGTTTCACCCACTTGAGACTTTATGCAGGGAAAGCAGATGACACCAATGTAAGGGAACAAATATGTCTGGGGTCTAAGTCATTCCTTATAATTCCTCAAATCTGTGAGGGGCCCTCGCAGAAGAGACTGCAGGCCTCTCAACTACATATTTTTAATAGAAAGATTGCATTCAAGTCTGAAATAAGTAAAACTGATTTTGCACAATCCTTACAGCAGGCTTGAGCGGTCTGAAAACTTCTTTTTTATCTTCAGGTTTTTTCACTGCGTTTTCCAGGCGCTGAGATGGAGAGCCTTCAGACTTGGATGACGCTATTGGGTTTAAAAGGGACAAGATGGACGGACACATATCAACATATGGATGTGTATTACGAAGCTGCCCTGCCCACCCCGCCCACTCCTGTCTGCCCATTCATGGCAGGCTCTCCACATGCAGGTATGAACTACAGAGCAGAGAGGGCCCAAGGAGGGCTCCAGCAGCCTTCCTGACTCTTTTACTTAAACCCTCCATCATCACACTCACTTTGACACGTGTTCACAATGTATACCTTGTCACAGTATGTCAGTAATACAATAGAGGGAATATTCACTCATCTATTACGAGTACATTAAAATAACCAATACTGATGACGGTATAGGCTCTGCAGCCCAGACCGGAAGAAATGGGTTCAAATCCTAGCTCACACATTAGCCCATTACTTTGGAAAAGTTAGTTAATCCCACTAAATTGTAAAGCACTCACGGTGGTAGGTATATATAAAGCTCTTAAAATTTAGCTCCTTTATGATTAAAATCAGGATGACTATTATTGTCACTGGCAACCTATGCTAAAACATTGTTTTGTGATGTGTGGCTACACGCAAACCACAGATTAAGATGAACTTCCAATATATGGATCACAGTCCAAAACATGAGCAGGGAAAAGGCAAAGGAAAGGCAGCCTACATCTCACTCTGAAGCGTTCCCCGGAGCCACTCTGAGACCCAGGGTGAGACCCGGGCTGGGATCCTGAGTTGCTGGACCCTGAGGAGCTGCCACTGCCAGGTCTGGGCACCAGCTTCTCCACTCTCTCCCACAGAAGCCTGGGTTCAATACTGCTGTGAGAAAAGAAGAAAAAAGAACAGCTAATGCATCATCTCTAGATGCCGTACCATCGTGTGTCCATCCAATGTCTTTAAAATGTAGGGAGGAGAAAAACAGTCTATAAACAGCATTCGACATTAAATTCACCACAAGATAAAATGACATTATTCATGGATTTTTATCTCATATATTTTTAGTTTGTATGCTAAATGGTATCCTACCATTAGATCTAAAATCATCAGGTGTGATATAATACTACTGTTCAGTGTAGAAGTAGCACCATTTCTGTCACAGCTACATGTCAGTTCTTAATATTAGGAAAACATTCCATATTTGTATAATTATACGCAAAACTATATTCTGTTTCTAGGCGGCTGCTCTCACCTGCCTGTTGCTGTTCTCAAAAACTGACACTTACAAAGAATAGTCCTTTGTATGGGCTGTTGGAAATGGTACAGAAAGCATGGACTGGGATGGATTTCCTGCCATGGATGAACCCAAAGCACACATGTGCTAGGTAAGGATTAATGACACAGACTTGGTCACAGAAGAACACCACAGTCCCCCTGCCACTAGCAGTGCTGAGGATCCTGTGCAGCTTTTGGGCCGTCATCCATCTGACACTTCAAGTCAGACCAAGGTTCCATGCGCAGAAGGCTAACTTCGGAGGTTCAGTGATGATTAAGATATAAAACATTCAACATAATCAGCTTTTCTTCCCTATGATAGTGCTGGTCAATGAAGCTTTCTGTTATGATGAAAATGTTCTATATTTGAGCTGGATAATATCATAGCCACTAGCTACATGTGGCTATAGAGCTCATGAATATACCCAGTGCACTACGGAATGAAGTTCCCACTGTATTTCATTTTAACTAAATTTAAACTTTAATTTAAATTTAAGGAAACTTCTGTAGCTAATTGTACTGGACAGAGCAGCTCTAGAACCTAAAAAGGATATTATTTGGTTAATCCACTTGCTTATTGCAGACTGTCAGTCAACAAGTGACTTCTTCAGTAACCTGTTTGTGATTTCTGTTTTATGCCACAGGCCTTACAACGTCCCTTAAATGAAAAGCTCCCTCTGATCACAGTTCTCTTAGAACTTCTCTCCCTTCCTTGGTGCTCCCTCCATTTACTCATACAGAGAAAAGTAGTTTAAATTTCAGAGTTGCTATATTAATGCACATCCAGATTCAAACCCACTTTTTACTACACATCAACTTGATGCCATCCACGTTGATGGATTTTATGGCAGCTTTTCCTTTTATACCTAATAATCTCCTTGCCCCAGAACTTCTGTGTTTAAGAGCATTTTTATGAAACAGACAATGTAAGGCTGTGGTAGACTGCACAGGAGGCCTGTTCTCAGCGCTCGCTTGTCTTTTACCTGGTGGAGTTTCTCTGTCCTGCCTGGCTATTCTGCTGCCCACTGCCCTGCAGTGGGGAATCTCGACGGGACAGAACAGGGGAGCGAGATGTTGTTCTCACAGGAACCTTTAAGTAGAAAATATAGCAATTAAATTATTGAAAACATGAGAAGGAAAAAAAAATATTTCCCAACCAAAATACATTTTTAAAGCAGTCCTAATATTTAAAAGCAGTCCTTCCTATCACCTCCACTCCCCACCCCCACTCCTTCCCTGGTCCTACACTGATACAATCGGAGAGAAAATTTAGTCACAGGCATCCAAGAAGCCAGTACAAACAGTCTTTCTATGCTCCTGTAACATTTAAATGATGTCTGGACTGAAGCTTGGTAGCAGGGACATACAAAGCATTTGCTGAGATAACGTGAGAATCAGGAAATAAGCTCAAAGAAACCAAACAATGGTCTATAAATGGATTGGCAGGAAGCAAAGACTGGCAGGAAGCAAGAAAATATTCAGAGGAAGCAAATTCCAAATGAGGAAAAACAAATTGACATTGGCTCTTTTGTTTAATTTCACTAACATGTAAACACAAAAACAAAACAAAATCCCCTACATTTAAAAAGAAAATAAAATTTTTCTTATAAGACCTTTTCTAAAAGTTTTGACATTAATACTGCGAAACTGCATAGCTTCTGCATAAACATATAGAAAAACTGCTAAAATAGATTATGAATTTGTTTAAGAAGCCTATTCTTTGTAGACATACTCTTACATCATTTTGCTGCCTTATTTAGAGTTAACAACAATAAAACGCTAACTGGCCACTGGCTGAATAAAACTGTCTAACTATGGAACTTTATCCTCACCATTAAAAAGTCCCTTTGAAATTTCAATGCCCCTTTAAATTTGGTAAAGTTGCATCCCCATAATTAAAATAAATAATCTTAAAAAAAAAAAAAAAGGAAAAAAGCAGCACACATCTGTCTTTCCGCTCCTTACCCTTGGAGGCACCTCGTCACTGTCTGATCTAGACCAAGCCTTTTGGGTAGGGTCGGGCGTCTCTGACTTAGAGTCAGAGCTCTGACTGAGCACCTCACTGCGGGAAGGTGGACATGGGTCCTGAGAACGAAGATGGTGGTGTGCAAATTTGGGAGGAGAAGGGTCACTGAAGGAATGGGATCGCGAGACAGGGGAAACATTGTTCTTGAGAGATGCCAGGTGGGACCACTGTACCTTACAAGAAAACAAAACACAAAACATTCAATGCGTTCTGCATAAAACTGGCTTTTCTGGTCAATACCAAATCCAAAGCAGGAACTGGCAGAGGCAGAATACACACCGGGGTGGTACAGTGTTAGGTCAGCCACGCAGTGAAACAGTTACACTTCAAAGTGAAGAAGTGGTCTGGGAACACAGTATGTAGAAAAGAACAAATGTACATTTACAAGGAAAACTCTTTGTAATATCCAGACAAACATTACAGATAGCAGTTAATGTGAAGACTTCTTTTTTTTTTTTTTTTTTAACAAAGAGGCTTTCAGAGCCCAAAGCGGGTACGATGGGTTGCATGCACATCCATGTCAAAGCAGAGACTGAAAGGGCAGAGACAGGCAGAAAAATCGTAAGATAAAGGGCATTGCCAAATGTGCAAACCTACCTAGCCATCCTCACATTACCTGCAGTGTCAGATTTAACACCAGACTGAGTAACAAAATGGCACGTTCAATGAGCAAAGACAAACCCCTCATGTTTTGACAGACTGTATCTCAAGAACAGCTAATTTTTCAACTATACCAACAATTTTTCTTATTTTTCCCAAGTCTACAAACACCCATAACCTAGATATCTCCATATACTGTCATATTAGTGATGAAAATAAAGAATTGTGATTTCTTTAAAAACATTTAGTACCATGGATTCCCTGAATTGACTACTGTTGGAGTATTCCTTCCACTTGGGAAATTACAAAAATATGACAATTACTTGTCAACTGAGTTTATCTGGTTGCTTCTAAATTGGGAAAATGATCTCTGAAAAAATCCATAAAATATTTTCATTAAATTATGTTTTACTGTTCCAAAATAATTGTTCAATATGGCAGTTGAAAAAATGATGGCTACATATCCATTACATCAATGTACTTGACAAAAACTGAAAATACTAAATCAATTTGTTCAACCTTTCCAAATACAAGACGTGAAATTAGTTCTGGTGTATGATTTCTACAATATACAGGTGAGAGATTTATATAATACCAGATATTGGTATAATCCCAGACTTCTAAAATGTTTAAGATTTTCAGAGGTAAAACATGTAATTCAAAGCATTACCTGAAATTATAATCAAAAATGAGCTTTAAAATAGAGTCCTACATCAGAAAAGTTTCCCCCGAAGAATGAACAGGAGAAGGAAATGGGAGATTCTTTCTAGGTACTACACAAATTCATAACAAATGCAAAAATCAGTATAGATAGTTCAGAAACTCCTATTTTCTAAACTATTAGTGGCCAAATAAAGATTCTCCATTTACGGCAAGTTTAATTTGCAGTGTGAAAACTTTTATCCGCTGATCTTCAAGCAGTGTAAAGTTGTTAAAGAACACGAGTCCTCAGACCTATTCTAGTAGTCTCTCTTCTCTTCCCTTTTTAATTGTGTCCATTTACCCTCTCCTGCTTTCCTCTTTCCTTTCTATCCCCTCCTCTCTGGAGCTGCCCATCTGTTAGCTCTCCTGGGACTCAAGAAACTGCTGGTCCCATGGAAATACTCACTCACCCTCACCTGGCCTGAGTCCTAGCTATTCTTTCTTTCTCTTTTAAGATGGAGTCTCACTCTGTCACCCAGGCTGGCATGCAGTGGCACTATCTCAGTTCAATGCAAGCTGCAACCTCCACCTTCTGGGTTCAAGCCATTCTCCTGCCTCAGCCTCCTGAGTAGCTGGGATTACAGGTGCCCGCCACCTCGCCCGGCTGATTTTTGTATTTTTAGTAAAGACAGGGTTTCGCCATGTTGGCCAAGCTGGTCTCAAACTCCTGACCTCAGGTGATCCACCTGCCTTGGCCTCCCAAAGTGCTGGGATTTCAGGTGTGTGCCACTGTGCCCCAGCCTTTTTTTTTTGTTTTTTAAACTCCTCCATCCTGCAGATCCCCCAGTTTCCTGCCACAAGAACATAAACTTGTCTCCCACACATGCAAACACCAGTGAAAAATAAACTCAAGCATAAGAACTTGTTCCTAATATTCTGGATTACAGAGTGGCAAGTGGGAAAATGTCTAAAAGTCAGTCATTTTCAGCAAGAGAGTAGGAATCGGCATTTTAAGGCTCTCTAAGATCTTTAGCCGTAATCTTCACTGCCTGCTCTCCTCTACGGACAGTACTGTGGGTTCTGCTCCAGCCACACAGCATCAGCCCAACAGTTCCCCTCGCCTGGCCAAGGCTAGAATGCTGCAGCAGACCCAAGGAGAGGTCACAGCCTTTTCCATGGCCTGTATCAGAGAAATTCACACCTAATCCGCTAGATCTAAACTTTTTTGGATCTTGAACCTTGTGAGAATCTGATAAAAGGTCATCCCCCCCACTCCCACAAAAAATACACATTTAAACAAATAAAGACATTTTGCATGGAATTTCAGGGGCAACATCTAAGGCCCATTCATAGGACTGGCCAAGAGCCAGGGATCACGCAGTAGAGCACTTACTTTTAAAATACTTCAGAGAAAATTTCTGGCTCTCCCTCTATGTATTTGTAATCCCAGTTCTCCAAAAACTAAACTAAAAGAACTTTGTATTAGAAAAAGGAGGCACTTAAGAGCTGAGTTAGGGCAGGCAAGAAGTTAGAAGAAATCACTCACTCTAGATACTCTTAATGAGTACACAAAAGTCTCAAAAAAAAGAAAAAGGAAAAAAATATTTCCCTATCAACTGAGTGTATGCCTTCTTTTAGTCTAAAGTCACTCCTGCTCATCTCTCCTCTTTTTCCATGTGCTGACAAACGAAACTGTGATATGACAGTAGGCCTGTGGCTCAGCGAGCCGTTGCATGAGTCTCCTCAACCACAGCAAAGCTGGCTGTTGCTACCTGTGGCTCCGCTGGTCTCTGCAGGGCGGGATGCACAGACTCGGAGTTGCCATTGGAAAAAGACTCTGATCGGGAAGGCACTGGTGGCTCCAATACTCTGCCTGTCTGCTTAGACTGCGCTTCAGGGGAGCTGTGGTTAGTTTTCCTAAATCTATCTTCCACCTGCATCAGAGAATTAGAAGACATAACTCAGTGTTAGTAGGGGAAAAGCAGAAATATCAAAGAAAGTCTAAAAGTGGAAGAACTCTAAAGATAGGTTTTCTGTTTTCTTCTGCCACAAGAAAAGAGAGGGGCAGCTGGAAAAAAGAAGGTAGATAAAGCAGTGCTAGGATTAGATTCAGGAAAAAGAAAATATTTGTGAAGATAAAAATTAGCAGGGCAGTCTCTAAGCTCTCCTCCTTGCTCAGAATTCTAAGACTGTATATGATGATAAAGTAGAAAAATGTAATCTGTCATAAGCAACTAAACTAACAGACGAAAAAACTATCATCAGAAATCCAGAATGCTTTTCACTCCACCAAAAATAAGAGCACTCCAGAACAAACAGAACACTTGTTTCTAGAAGCTACTGCCTATGAAGGCAGACACAATAGAAGGCTGCCGCCACCGGTGGGCCAGGATTCAGTACCTCTGGAGGCACACCCGTCACCCACCTCGCACCCCCAAGCAGTCCCTGCTGCAGCCTACTCTGAGGCTCTGGCTAGCCCTAACACACCAATCTAGCAGTGCATCTTGACATCTGCAAAGTCAGAAAGTTAAGCCACAGGCACTCTTTAGCTTGGGAGAATAGTTCATCAGACCACTCTTTCATCCACATTTTTAAGAATGACTGTGTCATGTAATCTTCTTTTTGTTTAGTTCAGTTTCAAGTTCTTCTGGGATATGTTAACTGAGGCACTCTGGTCCTTTATGGAAAAAGCACTGACTGGATATGAAACCTTGGGCAAGGCCCTCCACTCCTCTGAAACTCAATGTCCGAGTTAGAAAACGAAGAAACTAGATAATCAGCTAACCTCTACGGCCCGTTCTAGAATTCATATGACACAGTTCTGAAGAGTCATTGTACTGCTTTCCAGAGCAATGTCTAAGTGACAAAGGAAAGAGGATACCTCTCGCGCTCGGTCGGCAGGCTCGTAGTGGACTTTGGGCTCGGGAGCGTGGAAGCTTGGCTTGCTCCTTTCCTGCTGCTGTGGTGGCGGCTGCTGCGAGTGCTGCGGGTGCGGCCTCCTATGGTCATGCTGTAGAGACAGGAGATATGCTTGTTCTTGTTGCAACTGCCTCTGGAGCCTCTCTGCCTGCCGGTGCTCCTCCATCTCCCGCCATCGGCACTCCTTGGAGAGGGAGAGGATAACACTAAATCTATGGGACACTGGAGAGCTCGCCTCTTCTCTGGATTTGTTTGGCTTTTTAAAAAAGTGACCATACATTTTCCCTCAGTGTTTTGTAAGAAAGCAAAATAGCTGGGATTTTAAATAGCACATTACCTGTGGAAAAATCCCACAGCTGTTGCTAACCATAATTATCATTAGACAGAGTAAGAGATAATTCAATTAAATGTGAGTTTTAGTGGTATAGATACTAGGTAAAAATTCTGTGGCATGTACTTTCAACCTACTGCCCTCAGCATTCTAGTGTGTTCACTGAGTGCCAAGTTCTGTTTAAAACTTCGTTGATTTACCAAACAAGAACAATTAATTTATTAAAGAGAAATAAATAAACAAAGACCATGTTGCAATGTGCCACCAATAGGACCATAAAATGGGCATCTCTATTTCAGCCTGGCTGCCCACAGCAAAACCAAAATGGTCTGCCCATAGCAAAACCACCACAGCTTGCTCGACTTAGGGGAAGGATGAAGGAGCCCTAATACTACAGAATGAAACAGAGGCGGGGCTTTACCAGTAACATGGCCTGCTCCTGGAGCAGCTGCTGCTGGAGGACTTCCAAGTGCCGCTGCTCCTCTTCTAGCTGTCGCCTGATATACTCCTGTCACACAGAAATCACCCAGCAATCAATTTATCCCAAAGAAAAGCATCAGAACCACCTGAATGGAGCACCAAGAACCATTTGCTCCAATCATCTTTAGTGACAATTCACTTAGTGGTAAATACCTAAAGAAAATCTATTGCTAAAGATTTCTCCAAGAACTTCAAATTGGCCAGTTAAGACCTAAGGAGCCTAACAAATGATGATATGTATTTCCATGATATACATGAAGGGGTCTAAAAGTATTTCTACAGCTGTTGCATACAAATGCAGAATTTTAAAAGAGTATGTCATTCCTCTTAAGGTTGGTAAACCCCAGAGAAATCAAGAGTTTAATGAAAAAGGATCAGAGGGTTCTGATTAGTAAACATCTGCTTATTAAGTCATTATTTATAACAAGCACAGATCACCAATTTTTGAAACCTAAAACCAAAACCTGCTTAATATTAAAATACAACAAACATGATTCACGCTTTCAATGACAATTCCAAAGCCACCTGGAATGACTATATTCCAGACTTGGGCAACTGTCCTCAAACGAACAGACCCAGGCTCCATGATGAGCTTGTGTGTGTGTGACAGAGACAGACAGAGACAGACAAGGACAAGGGGAGAGAAAGAGAGGAGGAGGTGGAGATGGGGTGGTTTTTCTTTTCAATGAGAAGAGAATGATTAGTCTTCATAACAATGAACACAGGTAAACGCATCCCAAATATGTTATGGATGTTACCTACTTCGAAGCTGCATGCATATTATAAAGGAAGGGATACCAGGAGGCCTCAGTCCCTGTTCCATTGAGAACTGGCTCTATGATCTCTAGCATGCGCTAAAGCTCCCCTTCTCTCAGTCTCCTCATTTGAGAAATGAGCATCCAAAATCTCCTCTCCCAACCTTCAGGAATTTTTTTAAGGTTCAGACATGAGATCGATATGAAATAACCTTGAAAAGCATAAAACATTTTACAAGCAACAGAGGCTTCCTTTTTTTCTAGAAGAGGAATAGACTAACAAGGACTCTGAGGAGACATTTTATCCTGAAGTTCAGATTCCCTTTTCAGAGTGTCTCCTGCTGACCATCCCCTTGTGTCATGGTGCACACCTTGAAACAAAAATAGCCATCAATATGGGCTGAACAGAAGTTTTAGTTAACCAATATCTCTGGGAGAATACTGAAATTACAGCATATAAAAATCCTAAGAAATCCTTACTTTACAAGGAAAACTGAGCCAAAAAAGCCAACTGAGGGGGTGTGGGCAGTGGGCGGGGAAGGGAGAGGTGGACTTACTCAGAAGGTCACTGACTAACATATCTGGTTCTGACCTGGGATCTACATCTCTTGTGTCTACGCCTGACCCTCCCTGGTATATGCTACAGCAATACCTCTCCTAGCAAGGCTTGTGTGGCCTTGACCCACGTGTGACTGAGCAAAGGAACCTGACTTCCAACTCATTTTCGTTTTTGAACAAAACAGAATTATATTGTCACTTGAAAGATCAAATCAGTACACTCATTTGTTTTCTGCCCTCAAACCACAGGGACAACTGGAAAAATCATGTCCTCTCCAAACCACAAAGCTCCTAACACATAGTCAATGAACATACACAACACAACACACATCTACACAAACATAAACGCTTATGCTGAAATGAAGTGTGTCCAACAGCACTGTTAACATGGGAATTACTATTTCACAACAGAATGGGGAAAACAGAATAAAACCGATTTTAGAATTTTTTTTTAAGTGGTGCCAAATACTTGCTATTCACAAAATTTAATGATTGCCACTAGAGCATTAAAGATGAATTGCTGCCATCACACCCTCCTGTCACAATCGAACTGTAATCATTATTTCTAGGTGATTTAATACTTAAAAGCTTGAGTGTTTTCCTCTTTGCAGCCCCCAGGTATAAACAAAAGTGGAATGTTAAAGCACACGCACTACACAGTTAAATGGTTGACAATGTCAATTAGGTAGCACAAAAAGCGTCACTGAAATTCCTGGGAAAACACTGAGGAGCACGCAGACCCAAGGCTCAGAAAGCCCCAGACACATGCTTAGCATAAAGGACGGCAGCTGAACAGTCACATTTGAAAGTTAACACCATGGTTTATAAGTTTAAAATACAGATACCAAGTGTTATTTAAATTGGTCCTCATGTATCATTTTTTCTTTATTCCAAGCTCATAACAAACAGATCAAAGACAAGAAAGGCAAAGAGGCTAAGGGCAATTTTTGTCTGCACAGGTGGTTCAGGAAACAAACAAACAAAAATTCTAAATAAAATCATATCTGGTATTAATAAAATGCTGCAAATATTATTCAAACCTGATCTTTTTTGGTTGAACTCATCAATGTTAGTTTTTTTAATGCACTGTGTATATACGGAATTACATGCTGATATATATTACAATATTCACTTAGCCACTGGATATTCAAATACTTCTCATAAGAAATTTCTGTTGGTTTTTCATTTCTTTTTTTTTAAAAAAGTTAATTATCACCCATATATTTGGGGTCCACAGCATTTAAGCCAAATCTGAGAAGATACATGCAGACATCTTTCAGATATTATACTATTTAGAGACCACTTAACTGGTTTCAAGAGGTTTCTAAAGTATAATGATTTATAAACCCTTTTTAGGATAAGAGACCCAATTTATTGGTGTCATTCCAATTGTGTTTCACCACGTTCATACATCTGAAGTTCTAAGTATATGTGTATGTGTGTACATGTGTGTATGCATCACATGTGTGTGTACTTTCTAAAAATCCCCCAGCTCTGCAAAGTAACAAACTTCACAAATGAATGCCTGGTATGTTCTCTGTGAACTAACCTGTTCTCTTTCAACTCTCCTCTTTTCTTCTTCTGCCCGTCTCCTCTCCTCTTCTTCTTTGCGCCTTCTCTCCAACTCCTCTAGACGCCTCTTTTCTTCTTGTTCTCTCCTTCGCTGTTCACGTTCCTGCTGCCTTCTAGCTTCACGCTCTCTCCTTTGTTGCTATGTAAGTAAAAATGTATAATTACCAGGGATCTTCCTGCCATCTTTCTCATGACGTTATAGCGTGCTGATCAGTCAGTCACAGGTGGACACTAACGAGGTGAGGTTCATGGGCCCCATAGCTACCAGCCAATTATTTCCACACTGCCCCTCGCACCCATAAGTAAGGGCTTCCTCATGAATTTTCATCGAAAGTATTATGATTCTGTGAATCCTTACAGGGTTTAGTTTCATTTTGATAATAATTATTCCCCACTTCTCACTGCACCACAGCAATTAGGGGACAGAAAATTCTTTATTCTTGGATATCATTAACAGGGTTATGCAAGACCCTTAAGTAAGAAGAAAAATACATTGAGAGAAAGAAATAAAGGGAAATAAAAATCCAGCAAAGAAAGAAAGACAAATAATTTTAAAAAGGAAAAAAAGCAGCACACATCAGGAAAAGAGGAACTGACATCAGAATAACTATGACCATTATCATTAATACAAATATTTCAGAAACTGCCACTGAGCAAATGCTTACTACTATATGCCTGGCACTACACTAAGTATTTGATATTTCTATTCCATTTATTTTATCTAATATAAGTCTCCTAACAACCCAAGGAAGTCATTATTTCATCCTTGCTTTACAGATGCGAAAACAGCTTCAGAAAAGGTAAGTGACTTGCCCAAAGTCACACAGCCAGCAAGCCCCCAGCTGGAAGAGCTGCTCTGCCTCTACAGCTCATACATACTCTTAACCACACTCTACCCTGCAGCCCACCAACAGGTGTAAAAGATGCTACTGAATTACCAGACTCACTCAGCCTTTCTAAACCCAGACTGTTCTATGTAACCCTACAGTACAGAGCAAGATGACACACCGGGCACTGGATGACAACTCACTCTTCTAGCCCAAGGCTGTCTGCCAGTAAAGCACAAGTTAGACTCTGGACTCTCTGGGTAATAAAAATGTTCTGTCTCTGCACTGCTCCATAGTCACTAGTCACATGTTGCTAATGAGCACCTGAAATACAGCTAGTATGAATGAAAAACTGAGTTTTTTATTTTGTCACACTGAATTTAAATTTAAATGGCCAAACGTGGCTAGTGGCTACTGGATAGCAACAGCTCTAGAGGACGCACAGCCATCAAACTTCCCAGACAGAGAGAGCCAATAATATTAACACAAACTTTATTTGTGACACTAAAATTAACCATTAAACAAGAAAGCTTAGGGTAAAGCTATCAGGGATATTAGACATATTGATAATGGATATACAAAGTACACATTTATTATAGTTTAAGTATTCCTTCTGGGTCTTCTCCCCACTCTCAACTAGTATTTAATCTGAAAGCCGACACTTAAAAATGATGCCCTGGGAAATGTAAAGTAGTATCTTTCATCTGGAATAACTGGATAGCAACGATGATTTGGGTACTCCAGTCTCTCTCACTTGACTACTATACCCCCATTATTCTCAACAAAGTTCTGAGTCTGCTTCTGGTCCCGCCTCTCTTATTACATAGGTTTTTCAATGGGAGAATCTTCTTTTCCCCTATTCTCTGCTCTTCGAATTCAATACACAAAACTCATCAGCCTCCCATGGGTGGAGATGGGGTCATAAAATGAATAGTGCTCCTGCTCTAGTGTCTAAAATCTACAACTTTAATGGTTATGCCATCTTTATTTATCAAGGTGTTATTACTTATCTCACTTTTTGTTTGTTCCACTGGATTTCTATGGACCTATCACAAATAATCTATAAAGTCTCTTGCACTACCATAACACTCCTTTCAACACGGTTAAAGAAATCAGGTATTTCTTCTATATTCTTGGACACTGACTGTTTTCCAGTCATCCTATATTTCTATCCACAAACTTCCTGGGAATCCTTGTCATCTTCTTTCTTACTTTGCTGGAAGACATCCTCCAGCAGCTTCTTGAGGTAGAGAGAAGAAGAGGTAAAACAAAACAAAGCAAAACAAAAGCAAAACAAAAACAAAACAAAACAGAACAACTTTGCAAAGTTATTTCCCCTAACACGTTACACACAATTTCGGCTGAAGAAAATTAACATTCCCTCCGAGTTTCGAAGGCATTGCTATGCCACCTTCTAGTTTCTGATGTTGCGTCTAGAGATTCTGAGACCATTCAGATTCTTGATACTTAGTATGGACCCATTCCACACTCTACCTGCTCCCAACTTCAGCTTCTAGGATCCTCTTTTCATCCTCAATATTCTAAAGATGATGATGTATGTATATATGTATGTGCACATACACAATAATATATGTGCCTTTGTGTGAACCTTTTTTAATCATGTGCTGGGTATTCAGTAAGGCTTTCAATCCAGAAACTCGTATTTCTTAGTTCTGGAAATTTTGCTTAAATTATTCCTGTATGTTCTTTCTATAGTATTCACTTCCTAGAACATCTATTAAATAGAAGTTGGACATCCTGGATTGATTCTGTAAGTTTTCCTTTTGTCCTATTATCCACCAGCTTTTGTCTTTTCTCCCCCACTTTCTGCGAGTGTTAATTTAAATTTTAAAAACTCAAGAATTCCTTCTTAATTTCTGAGTATTCTTTTTCCATAAATATAGTATCTTCTCTTTCCAAGGATAAGGTCTTGTGTCTGTTCATGTGTATATGTAAATACGTATGAGATGCTTTGCTTTGTTCCCTGACTGTCTCTATATCCTTCGAGTTCTTTTTCCTATTTGTTTCAAAATCTTTCATGTTAGAGATTTTCCTCAGTGTCTGGTAATCTTGGCTGTCCATTTACATTTAAGATCCTAAAAAGCAAACTATAAGGACAGTATAGACAAAGAGCACCTGGCAACTACTTAGCAATAGAGTAAGGTGATTATGATTCACCCTGATCACTTCACTGAGGCCTTACTTCCTTTGGGCTGGTCAGTTATCTCCAGAGAGAAATCGTCACAATATTCTGGGAATCCTTCTAATATCCTACGGCATTGAGGAAAGGGCATATGAAAAAGAGATAGCATTTGTAGTAAGCGTGTCTGCCAGCATTTTGGGAGCTGAGAAAGTGAGCACGCTTGCAGTCACACTGATTAGTATTCACATTTTCACTTAATGCCCTTGTTTTAGTTCATCTTTCGCCACATACTCAGTGTTTTTCCAAGTTCCCAGTCTTTGTTGTTCACTGTTCCCAGGCAGCAGGTATCTGCTCCTGCTGGGGGCAGGGGATGCTCAGTAGACGAGCTGCACAGGACAGGGTAGTCTAACTGTGCATGTTCCTAAGTGTGCAAACTCACTCTGTATATATGTACATATAATGTCAACATAATTACATTTTATTCAATTAATAAAAATGTATAAATTTAATTCAAAATATACTATCAAAGAAAAAATAGCAAGCAAACATCTTACAAACAGGATATGCTGTATAAAAAGTTCAACTGTCAACTGAAACCTTCTGAGAGGCTTTTTAATTTTTAATTTCAGGTGATACTACCATACCTTCGGTTACTAGATCAACATAAAAGAGACTGCAAACGTCTTGAAAGCAGGAACCATGTAATTATCTCTTTTTTCCCCCTGTAGTAAATATCACACATTACCTTCAGAAGAGAAATTCAATACTTTTTTTTATTTGAATCTAACCTTTATACCTAGCATATGACATCCAAAACAGAAACTGCTGTGAATTTACCCAACACTTAGCATTTAGAGAGATGACAGACTCAGGAATCCATTCAGGTCTCTAGGTCCTATGAAATCCAATCAAATCCTAAGGCAATCTTTTCAAGATCACCAAGTAAGAGCACAAAGTCTTGAGCTTTAATTATTACACTAGGTAGGGCCTCATACTTTAAAAAAACAAAACACCAACAACAAAAAAACACACCTCCTTTATGCCTCCAGATATCGTAAAAGGTCCTCTAAAGTACTCACTCTAAGGCACCTCTGGTGCTCAAATGAGAGATCTCAAGCCCAAGGGTTCATTTTCACATAGGCTTAAATTTGAATGAGCCCTTCTTTTCCAGAGATACAAAGACTACAAACAACTAATCCATCTCTTTGAGAAATACTTATTAAGCACCACAGATATACAAAGATGAATTAGAAACTGCTTCTTTCCTCCAAATCTTGCAGGTCAGGTAAGTTACGTACCTTTAAAAAAAAAAAAACCCAGAAGACAGTGTGGAAAGTGATAAATCTCCCAACACTATCCCACTAAGCAAGTCCTGGTTAGTGGGACCAAATAGTTAAGAATAATAGCTAAGGCAAAAAAAAAAGTACAGTTACCAACTTCTTTTTTTTTTTTTTTTTTTTTGAGACGGAGTCTTGCTCTGCCACCCAGGCTGGAGTGCAGTGGCCTGATCTCAGCTCACTGCAAGCTCCGCCTCCCGGGTTCACGCCATTCTCCTGCCTCAGCCTCCCAAGTAGCTGGGACTACAGGCGCCCGCCACCGCGCCCGGCTAGTTTTTTGTATTTTTTAGTAGAGAAGGATGGTCTCGATCTCCTGACCTCGTGATCCACCCGTCTCGGCCTCCCAAAGTGCTGGGATTACAGGCTTGAGCCACCGCGCCCGGCCACCAACTTCTAATAGTTGAAGTGGTAAACTAGATTGAGAGCAAGAATTTAAAGTACCAACCATAAAAACCACTACATTCAGAATAGGCCCTCAATTTGGAGGTAATTGGGGGCAATAAGAGGAATCATTAAAAAATAAGAAAGCCCTTAATATCTTAATAGGTAATGTGAAAAGCTGGCCTCTTGCATTAGAACTTCAAAAGAAAATATCAAAAACTGAAACATACACACCATCAACAAAATAACATCGGTCTGTACTGTTAACCTTATGCCTATGATTGCAAATAATAAAGCCCAGGGAATTTTAATGAACATGCTTCTTCAGCCTTACCCAACTAAGAATGATAAACACTACATAGTCTTTTGAAGCTTTTACAAACTGATGTAATTTATTTTCTTAAACTATCTTTTCTTTAAAAACAAAATAGAAACAGATAGAAAAACTGTG